GTTCCGCCTAACTTTTTCCGCAATTCTATTCTTTTCGACCTAAAAATATTGATCCGAGCTCAGAAGGCCTATAATCTTCTAGTTCAATGCAAAAGACCCGATCTAAAACACTTTAGTTGAAAAAAAAATTGCGAAAAACTATGCTACCTGTACCCCTCCGGATTGATGAATCCATCAAATCAAACACGTTAAGTTCGGTTTCTCTGCAACCCGGAAGGCTTTCGGGAAGCGGGTTTTAAAACTTGTCGGTTCGCTAGTGGACGTTGTCCGAACAACTTTTTTTACTGTCCTAATTCAAAAATTTCAAAAAATTTTCTGAATTTATAGTGTTCCGTTTTCTCAAAAATCCCGAAAATTTGGTTTTTGGTTCCAAAATAGTTCCAACCACTTCCGAACTAAACTTAACCGATTCTATCTGTTATAGTAGTGCAGTTACGATGTAACACACTAATTTAGCGCTTTTTTCCATTTCAAAAAAAATATCGATAGCTCAAAAATCGCGATTTGTGGGGGGATCAAAATATCGCTATTTTGACCCTAAAAACCGGTCTGCTCTCTGAAAAACGGTATAGGAGTATTAATATAGGCTATATAAGTAATAATAATAGTAATACTATACCCCTCCGGGTTTGTTTATTATCCGAATTAAGGTGATTAACTCGGATATTCGCAGTTCGATGAAGGGTCACTACAGTGCAGCACTGTCGAGCCCCCCACAGATTACTATCTTAATTTTTTGTACCAAAAGGGATACAAAACTTGTTAACGATACCCAAGAGTCGATTGTTGTTGTCGTTGAGCCCTTCTTGTTGCTCCTTATACTGCTTGCCGGATCAGTCTTCTCCCAAGACCCTTCCGAATTGAGCGCAAATCAGCTGACCCTTCCGGATTGAGCGCAATTTATCATTAACGTGCATAAATGCTCAAATAACCCTACAGTACAAGCCTCACAAACGGGTCACAAAATTGATCGTAACATTCCTGACTGATATAAAGGCCTGTAACAACAATATATCCATCAACAACAAACGGGAGGGGCGGATCACATCATGTCTGGGAGGATGATTTCTACTGATTTCTTACTTTTTTTTTTACTGTTTTTGGTTTTTTCGGTTATTTTTTGATGTTTTTTGTTTTTCTTGGGTATTATACTACTTTTTGTTTGGTTTTATATATATCTTTAAATGTTTTTGGTCACAAAACTCTCAGGGAACGAGGGAATGGCCGATCCCCCCACCCTTCCTGGTTCGTGAATTTTTGGTTTTAACTATGTTAAAAAGCTATTAACGGTAATTTGGAAGGCTTCCGCGTTTCGAACTACCATTCCGCCCTGGCAGTTTTGACCTATTAAGGGCGTTAATGTGAGCATCCGCTCGGCGAGGAGTGCTCGTTAACGGTTCTGCCGGTCATGATGTTAAAAAAGAATAACACCCAGGAGCGCCATAAAAACATCTATGTAACATTCGCCCGGAAGATACATATCGACGGAAACTAAAGCTAGGTTCTAAGACGACTGGCCAACGTCTAAACAGAGCTCCACATGCTTTTCACCGTCTCCACCAAGCCAGTACTTTCGGTGGTCTTTCTAACATCGGGTCGACAAAAACGTTACTGCTTTCGGCTTCAGTCAAAACACTCAAATTAACTAGATTACATGCAGAAACAGCGAGCTCATGGCCGGGTCCCAAAACCCACAGACCACAAGACCACTCCCAAAAACAGAGCTACTACTATTTATTGAATTATTATTGTTTTTGTTCAGTAGATAAAAATCATCATCTCCATCGAAGATGGATCAACCCTTTCCCCCCAATTCCTAGTTTCTCATCTTAGCAGAATGAATTCAGATGTTAATCAAATTCAAGTCAGGACATAATAGGTAAGCTAAAAGTTTGTGTAAGATGAGAAAAGTTCCAGTCCCGAGACCCCTCCGGATTCTCGAATCCGGGGAAATAAGACCCTTATCTTCCTTCCGGAAGGCTGTCTTCCACCCTTCACCGTTGTTCGCAACGGCCTTGCAACTATTGTAGGGACAAAATAGTTGGAACTCGGAACGGTCTATGCTACTTCTGCAATTTGTTGTTGTTTTGCAATCACAATTCTCGTCGTTATCTGTACTCGAATTGGTTATTTCAGTAAAATTGCGAAGAGCAATTTTACTCTAATACTATTTTGGATCAGTTTTCCCGCAAATATTTTTCGAGTCTTCTGATTTTATTGATTTCTTTTTTCAGTTGCCGCGATATTTTTGAGCATGACATGGTCGATTCGAATTTTTCACAATGACTTTCCCCAAAATCAAGGTCAAACTTCAGAATATGACCGACTGGCACATTTCTAGTATTTCTATGAATTGCGTCTTACACAGTGATCCGCACACCCGTATACAAAGGATAGCGCTCCTGAACAGCGCGAAGATTATCTTAGTTCCTTAAATGTACCTTCAATGTTAAGTTTTTCTGGTTTGTCGACCAAAGGACTGATGTGCGTCTATTCTTGAATGATGGTAAGACATGGAATTTTTTTTTTCAGTTGATATGAGCGAAGAAGACAATGGCTACGAATTAGTCAACAAAATGACAGAGAGTAACGAAGATTTGCCTGTTAATGCTTCCCCTGTTAAAGAATCCGGTGACGTTGAAGAGGGAGAAAATACCGTCAAATCTTCGCTTTTTGGCGCAACCGAGGATTTAATTAAAATCGACCCTTCTAGAAAAGGTTAGGCTGAATTGACCTTTTTTCACCAAATGCTTATTATTGCTTGGTATGCTTTTATAGCAGTTGAGGGTTTTTAAACTTGAAATTGTTGTTATTCCAGAAATCGTTATATCTATTATATACTTAAATGCGGGCTTCACTATCTCGCCATGTTAAGCTTTTTCAACGTAATATTTTTGCATGAAATTAGCAACCCAATAGTGGGATGCTGTCAGGGTTTCTCCGGCTGTTGCGATTTTTGCCTCTATATATGAATAACCAAATCCTTTTAGGTTACGAGATATGGCAATTTTCGAGATTTTTCAAAAATTTCTAGAAAACTAATTTTTAAAAACTTCCTAAAATTTGAAATTCTCAACCCTGTATTTGGGGGCTGTCAGGGTGTTCTCAGGGTTTGCGAATCTTGCCTCCAAATATGGCTGCTCAAATTGCTGTAGTTTTTCAGATATCACGTTTTATGCTATTTAAAAAAAACTTGATTTTTTTAAAATCAAAATTTGAAGTTCCATTTTTTTTTATTTAGTGGGCTCTCAAAGCCCTCCTCTCAGGGGTTGCGAATCTTTCGTCCAAATTTCACTTCTCAAATCCTTGTAGGTTTCGAGATTTGACGGTTTTTTATGAAACTTAGATTTTAAAAAAATCAAAAATTTGAAGATCTCAATCCTGTAGTTGGAAACTGTGAGGGTACTCAAGAGTTGCGAATCTTGCCTCCAAATATGACTGCTCAAGTCTCTAAGCTTTTTGAGATAGATTTCGAAGTTTTTTTTTAGAAAACTTAAGTTTGAAGTTTCTTATTTTGAAATTCGTAACCCTGTAGTTAGGTTTTGTGATAGTACTCTCATGAGTTGCAAATCTTGCTTCAAAATGCGAGTTTTAAGTTTCCGAAATGTTTTAAGTTTCCGAAATGTGACGTTTCTTGGTTCGTTTTAATTTTTTCAAAGAACTAATTTATATAAAACTTAACAACATTTTATGAATAAAAAACTTTGCAAAATTCAAAACTACCAACCTTGTAATTATGTGCTGCTACGGTACAATCAAAGGATGCAGGATTTACAATAAGGATCTTATTTTCGATGAAGGTTTTCTATGAGGTTTTTTTATGAGTTGTTAAAAATTCGAAGAACCGAAGATATATTACACGCTAGTTGCTTTTTGAATGTCTTTTCTCATTTTCTGCTACGAATGACCCATCTTCATCCTCGTTCTTTGCTTGTAATAAAAACACATGAATAGCGATAATTATTTAAGTGTTCAAAACAAGGGTATATTATTTGTGACCATTAAGTTGTCCGATCGAAATGTCACGTGTCTTAATACTTTAGCCAATATTTATTAGTTTTAACTGACGGGTAAAATGCCTTGTTTTTGTTATTATCTAATTTAGACCACTTGATAATGTACTAAGCCAACATGAAGTCTGAGCCCTCCCATTTGTACCTTCAGGGTATGGTTAGATTTTCAGTAGACCTAAGCAGTCGCAATCAGAAGATTTCAGGTGTAAGGTAAATTCTGTCGACCGTTTTGCTTGGTGAGATGAACAACCCATATTGAACATAAATAACGCAACTAGCAATACAAATTTTCTTGTTGTGCCATCAAAAAATTGTCATTCAATTCACAAAATGAATGTTATCAGGTTCAGTTCTTGAATAAAATTTATTTCGGCTGGTGAATATCAATGCTTTGTTCTTTCTGTGAGTACCCTTTCCCCAAAGTGTGCAAGTAGATTTGCAGCTAGTTGCGAGTTTCTGAGAATATTAACTTTGACGCGAAAGGTTCAATATTTGAATGTTGCACTTTGACTTATGTTATGTCCACTGGAAGAGACTAAGACCATTCTGAACTTGTTTGTTGTTCACGCGCTTTCTGATCTTTGTATATATTTAATCCCCGTGTTCGAGATTTATCGGACCAGTTTCCTTAGCCTAGCCTGCAGTTTTGAACTACTTTTCCTGAATTAAGCAATGATTTAATAATGTCACTTAAGTAAGTTAGCCGATAAAAACCAGAGAGCGAAAAAGTAGTTTGAAGCGGTGCAGAATGCTTCTGTAAGATCGACTGGAAGTCTGAAACTCTTCAGGGGATACTAGAAGATTTTTATGCTCAAAGTTGGTTTGAGAAGAAAAAACGTTTGTTGCGCTTTTTTGTGCTCCGATTGCCGGTATTTCGGTTTCTTCGTTATGATAGCAACCCCAATGAAATTATCTTGCACATGTTCGGCGTCTGCCCTGAAAGTGATTTCAAATATAATAGAAGTTTCTCTGCCAGACGTTAAACGTAGCTCTAAATTGACTAATCCAGCTGGCGATTTTAGCCTGTTTTTGGCCAAACTAGGTACAGTTCCCAATGTTCAAGCTACTTAACCAGTGGTAGAGTTATTTATTACAACTTAAGCTCAGAATATTGGCTTGATATTTGATAAGGTTCCCCGGCTGTGTAGTTTGTTTATAACAGATTTTGCAGTTATTAAAATTGTTCGAAGTTAACTAACAATTGTGTTAATGAAGTTCTATTTATAAAATTCTTGTACCTTTAAGATTGTACAAGGCATTGAAAATTATTCTATTTTACTTATTTTATAGCTCGTGTAAAGTGTTTTAAAAAAATTTCCTTATTATCATCTAAGCAATAACCTTCATTAGTTTCTTAACTGGCGGTATCGCAACAATGGAACAAGTTGCGTTGAATGGAAATCAGCAGACCAAAATATTAGTTTCTCAAGGTACATTTAATTGCTAAAGTTTCTGCGTTTTCTATGTTTTCTGTCTTCGAGGTTATAGACTAAACGTATGTTTTAAGTGTGGACATTCAGGCTCACATAAGTTTTGATCTCATTTATCTCTACAGTATAAATGAACGTGTTTACAGATGATGTGGGTACAGCTCGTGCTAAAGAAACGCATCTCTTTTTAAGTAATGAACGCAGTGAAGACTGTTTTATAAGTCTTGCTGATTTTTTCAGGAAAAAGTCTTAAAATATTGATGCACTTTGGTATAATGCGCTTTTTGAGTTCAATTGAAATTCATCTGCTGAAAGTGACCTAAAAATCACTCTCCAAATACGAATGTGGAAATAATGCGAAAAACGTGAACTATTGCTAGTTTCGAAAGTGGAATTTATTTTTAAGATTTCCCAGCGGAATAAAAACTTTACTTATTGATCCAGTTTTCTCAAGTTGGGTTCATGTTAGCAAAAAAGCGCCAATCATAAATTATTCTAGAAATTCAAAGAGCTTAAAGGGCATCTGTTTTTTCTTTGAAATTCGACAGCTGGGATTTTTTGAGAAAGTCAGTGTTTTCCTTATGTTTACTTGCGTTCATTACTCTTTTCCAATCTTAGATTGGCTATGTTTTGGTTAAAGTGTTCCCAAAACATCTATAAACGACCTTTTTGGTCCATTTTTTGTTAAATTTCACAAAATATGCCTCTTATAGTGTTTTCAGAGACCTTGGCAAATCGCTTTGGTCGAACTAAAAACCCCTCTCTGCAAAATCCTAGATCCACCTCTGATCAGATACAAACCAAAACAAGGATAGCCGGTTACTGTGCAAGTAGAACAGAATGTTCCGACCATAGTCTTAAAAAATACAAATAAGTTTTTCCAAATAAGTGTCATTTTTTTCGACTTGGTGTAATAAAAGTAGCTGAACACAAAACTTGGTATTCGGTATATTCGACAGCCATGCTAAAAAAAAGCTAATTGAAAAACAATTTTTCTATAAAAATGAAGAAGAAAAAATTTTTGCGGTCTTTTGAATTGTGAAAGTTTGATTCCAAAAAGGTGCTAAAATACTCATAGTAAATTAACGCTACCCGATTGATTTTTTTTCGAAGACAAACAGGGGCGCTTTGAGGGGGGGGGGGGTAACCCTGTGTGTTTTTATTTGTCATCCATTTTGTAAGTTACTCTAAAGGCGCCTTTGACCCGCGGACCGAAATAACGCAATTTTGCGGCCGAAAGTTTCCAAAAAATGCCTAAAAACGGCCTTATTGACCTTTTTCTCACAAATTTATCTGCGGCGCATTTTTTGTCTACAAAAAACGCTTTTTATAGTGTTCTGAGAGCGCTCGGAAAATCTAAATAAAAGGATAAAATTTTCAATTTTTTTTTAATTGACCTGACCCCACAAGGAAAACCTAAATGCGCCCTGAAGACAAGTGTTGTCAAATCTGCCAAAGTATATTTTTTCTACGTTTCCGTGTAGTTCTCTCATCGCACCATGTGCAAAATTTTCAGTGGGTTTTCAAAACGAAATCAAGGACGTTTTTTTGCTAGCTTTCATCTCAATTTCATGTCGGCTTCTTACCTCGGTTAACTCGAATTATATTGTTTTTCTTTATGTTTAGGTCCCCGAGACTGGTTCAACGGATGCAGCCTTGATTGTAAGTATACAGATTTTTAATTAGTCTCTCTTCTTCAGGCGACCTGAGTTTTAACAATTTGCAAAACGTGCTGATTTAAAAAAAATAATTTGGGAATCTTTAAATTCAAACTTCGGGAAGTGGAGCTGATTCTAACCCTTTCAATAAGCAAAGTTGGAAACATTTCTTAAATTATTTTCCGTATTTTGAGTTAATAATGTTTTCAGAATCACCAGTAAGAACAAAAACCGTTGTCATTTTTTAATTGCATCACCGAAGTGAGTTGTCTTAAGCGTGGTGAGCAATGTTATCTTGAGATTTGAAAGACTGTTTTTTTGTCATATGAATTTGATTAAACCTTACATACTCTCTGTTGTTTACGCAATTAGCTTTATGGTGGAAGAACTTAAAATTATCTTTCATGCATGTGTCATCGCAGTTTAACTACAACTGTTTTGTTTTAAATTTCAAAAAATAGGATAATTTATTCCAAATTTCTGGTTTCAGTTGCTCCATAGTCGACTTACTTACTTTTGGCGAGGTTGGATAAATATAGTATTCTAGAATTTAATTTGTTTTCCTCTAGGGCAGTTTGCATTAGGGCAATTTCTCTAGCACATTTTCTTTTTATATGAGAATAAGTTATAATGTTCAGGTTTTGTGATAAGTCACTCTTTTTAAGAAAAAAAAACAGCCAAACGACTCGTTTGCCAATTTTTGTCGCCTGATGTCATTTGAATTTTTGGAAGAAAGTGAGGAATACTGACGTTTGGTGTTGTTTTTTTTATGCAGTCAATTTTCGACTTGTTAACTAAGCGTATTTGACAAATTTTTTATACCATCTGAGAGATTTTGTTATCCTAAGCTCAAAATTAAAAAGATATTTCACCTGTGATCTTTCGTAAAGTTACTGGCGTTTGAAAATTGCTAATTTGGCCAATTTGGGATAATTAAAGTGCGATATATTCCTTACTTATAACACGCGTAAGAAGCGAATTAAAGCGTTCCAAATTTAATTGAGGCCAACAATTTAATCCTATTATCTCAATACGGGACGTTAAATTTACCCTTAGTTTTTTTACATAGCGTGTGGGGGATAAAATGAAGAAACAATGAAAAAAAAATTTTTGACGAATAATATCATTCAAAAGTTTCTGTTGTCCCAAGCTTAAATTTGAAAAGATATTTCACCTGTGATCATTTTGTTAAAGTTATGGGGGTTTAAAAATTGCCATTTTGGCCAATTTGGGACAATTAACCCGCGATATATTTCGCGCTACTAACGCGTAAGCGGAGATTTAATCCGTCTTAGAAATCGTTCCAAATTGCTTGAAGAAAGTAGTTTATTTGCCATAATTGATTTGTTACTAGGAGCTAAATCTATCACTTAGTACTTTAAATGGCGTGCGGGGGGATGATTTTTCACAAAAAATCTCAAGTTTTGTTTTCATTATTATTTCATTAAATTTTTTCATGCAATAACTGCTCCATAGATCTCAAAAGTCAATCGGAACCTTCAAGGCTTCGCATTGGTACAAGCAGCCTTGTTGGATTATAATATAGAACTAATTGTTGGCAACTTGGATCGAACTTGAAAGCTGGACTTTTTCTCTCCGACGAAGTATTTGAAATGAAAATAATTTTCTTTTTATTAGTTATAATACTGAACATGTTTTTGCCTGACCTTCAAAGGGAATTTTATGGAACATTTTAATAAAGTCCAGATGGCTGGACATTTTGAGATTCGAACGCTGACCGCTTGATCCCTCTGGGCTAATCATTATTGGCTTTTACACTCTTAAAAACGATAAAAACAATACCTGTATTCGTATCCATTCAAAAACATAACCCGTTTTTATTTCCCCTGGGTAGTTGTTTTCTAGGTTTTTTTTGTGTGGATCAAAAGAAATTGAAATTTTTTCCAAATGAAATTCGATGGCTTTTCCTGTTGCTGTTAGAGTTAATAAGAAAGTATACAATATTTAGCATTTTTTGGGGGCAAAGAAATATAATGTTCAGCAGATTCTTATAGACGAGGTAATTTTTTGCCCTGACAAGTTTCGATATAATGAAAAAATACAAAATGTGTATTTCCTCTTTACTTTGTATATGATGTGTTGTTTTGCTTATAAGTTTCCTATTTAATACGAAAAATTACTCGTAAAATATCAACCGCATAGCTAATTTTGAAGTGTATCCCCTTTGTCATTAAAGCGTGCTCGGTTATGTCTTGTAAATTCCGCCCACCCTTCTAACATAAATCACCTGGGAATTGGATCGCGATGGGTTTCTTGCAGTAAAATGTGACCGCTCGAATGAAGTTCGCTTAAAGAGTAGTGATAAATTATGGGTCTAATAAAATGTCATTGTGATCCCCTGATGATATATTAGGCGGTCGCTTGGATATTTTTAATGCATTGGGTTCATTAGAAATTTTTAGTTCATCTATGCATCGTGATAACTGATGAAATTTCAAAAATGGGTAATTTGTTAATGGATGTTCAAACCCACATAGCAGTAGCGGATGCGGATTTGGGAGGAGGGCGGACTATTTTCAGAGATACCCCTTTGTACTATTTTCAGATATCCATTTTTTGGCTGATTGACCTTTGGCGCCAATCTGTACTAGTTTTGAGGGGGGAGCGCGCGCCGAAATAACGCGATTTTTTGGTCGAAATTTTCCAAAAAGTGCCTAAAAACGTCTATTTGGGCCTTTTTTCAGAAATTCGCCTGCGGCGCAGAAAAATTGATCAAAATAGGGTCCTTATAGTAGTTGGGGAGAGCTCAAAAAATCAATTTAGTCAACCTAAAAAAAGGTCGGCAAAATTTTATTTCCCCCCTTCCTCGAGAAATTTCTAGATCCGCGCCTGCCACATAGTATACATTAAGTTGTGGCATTTTTTTTTTAATTTTGGGCTCTGGTACTTGAAAAGCATTTATGTAGCTTAATTGCTTGGCGCCATATAAGTTAAGCATGTATTTAAAGATTGGTTGTTTTCAATCGTACGATTTTTGAGCTCTTGGTTTTTAATGCGCAATGCTTTAGTTAACTTCATTTTTAACTACATGCATTATATATTCATTTACCAACTAACTGTATGGGTTTTCTTCGGAGCAGTGAAAAGAAAGAAGGCAAAGAGATGAAAAAATCAATAGAGATAATCCGTATCTTGTCGTAATTTAATTCAAAGTAGAGCGTAGTGCTAGCTTGGTATACTGCTATTTAAAATATCATGCTTTGAATTTCTTAAAGGAAGCTGTAGGATGTTTAAAGGTAGAATTAGGAGATGACTCATTTTGAAACTAGGTAATTAAGACTACGGCTTGAAGATGCTAAAGTGTGTTTGTGAGTGTTTTTAAGGGTCTAATAATATTTGCGTTTCATTTGAATGAATAAAAAAAATGAGCTCGGCCCTAGTGTGTTAAGGTTAGCTTGTCTGGTTTCGTTCTTTTAACCAGCTGGTGTTCCGATAAAATAAATTCCCTCAACAATGGTTGGCTCGTTAACTCCGCTCTTGAGCTCATGGCGTTTAGATACCGGTGTTTCTTAAATTACTAGATTATGATTTAGCTTATATTACGTTGTTAAAATCTATGTTAGAAAGAACGTTAGACTGAGGCATCACTCGGCTTGCCTTGTGCATTTTGACCGCCTCAAACGAAATTGTAAAATTTTTCTACGAAAAAATTTGTAATATGTTCGTTTTTGAAAATTCAAATTTTATGGTTTTTGTCATTTCCAGTTGTGCAGCTGGTGTTACGGTAGAATATAAACCTTTCACATTGGTTGATTCGTTAAATACGCTCTCCAGCTTACGGCTTTTAGAGCGCAGTTCACAGAACCCACTTTAGAGCTCACGAATAACACAATTTGGTCTGTTTGCAGTTGTGCAGCTGGTGTTCTGGGAGAGCCCCAAGAAGACAGCAGTGCTGTCACTGTCAGTGTTCGCCCTCCTGGTCTGCTTCGCCTCCTTCTCCCTAATCAGCATAGTGGCCTACAGCACCCTCCTCCTCCTAGCTCTCTCGGCCGCATTCACTGTCTACAGACGCATACACGGATCCATATCCAAGTCAACAGCCGCCACTAACAATCCCAATGCCGGCAAAGACTCACACCCTCTCAGGTATTATTAATAATCACTTGCATTAAAATAAGTTGGAAAAAGTTCGGAAAAACTGAATTAATAAAAAAAGAACACTGCCGGTTTTGAACACATTTTGCTTGCAACTTCGAATATTCAGGCCAGCTTGAGACTTGAATTTTGTCTGAAAATTGGCTTTTGCGTACATTTTTAGGAACGTAGTGGTTGTTGTGACGAAACAATGATAATATAGCAGCGACATAGTGTTTCTAAGGAGAAGCTGCAAAATTTAAGTAGCTGAATGAACCATTTGTTAGTTTTAATAGGGGTTAAAGACTCATATGCAGTTCAACAGCTAATAGTTTGTCTGACCTTCTCAGGTATAATAGATATTCGCATATATTATATCAAGTTTGGAGAGAAAAAATTCTACAAACTGAATCGGGTACAAAGAGCAAGCTAGCGATTAACAATAAATTTTGCGACAAGTTAGCCACAGTCAGCTAAATTGATGGATTTGGGGAAATTAAACTCACAGTGACAACGTAATTCACACCCCACGGCGCAAGGTTAACAAAAATAGGACGAAATTTTGGACTAGGATATTTTAGCTCTTATTACTTCTAATGTTTTAAAGCTTTTTACCTAATTCAGTCACCCTTTACCAAAATAAAAATGGCAGTTTTTCAGATCTTGTTAAGAGTCGATGAACGTAGTGGAGACTCTGATATCGGTCGCTATGATTTTTTTCAGATTTTATTTTTTTTCAGGTTTTATGAAAATGAATGTGAACAATTTTTTAATTTTTTTTATATTTTATTTAAATTTTTTTTAGAGGCTTTAGAAAAATTTTTCACTTTTTTTTAAAGTTTAGTTTTTCTGGAAAACTACTCTGCCGATTTTCAAAAAAATTGAAACCAATGGAAAGTACGCCCACTCCACTGTGTGCCTGCATAATCCTCTAGTCTATTTTTACCTTAAATGCTTTCAACAGCCTTCGAAAAAGTGTGGGGGGGAATTTTTGACCCAAGTTTTTGAATTTTTTCATATTTTGTCGAAAACGGCGCTCCCAAATCTGAGATTTTGGGTTCAACGGATAGAACAAGTTGTCGGAAGCTCCCGTGCACAAGCGGTTACGCCCAATTTTTTTAAATATAAAAAATTTATGGCCCTCAGAAAAGTCAATATTTCGATTTTACCGTTTTTTTGAAACTTTTTGATTTATCTCAAACTACTCTTCCAAATGTGAGATTTTAGTTTCAATCGAAGGGACATGTTGTGAGAAGATTTCCTGCGTTAGAGGCTAAACCCTAATTTTTACACCAAAAAAATGACCCTCGGAAAAGTCGACTTTTGACTGTTTTTTTGAAACTTTTTTTTCTCAAACACTACCCCTCCCCGAATCTGAGATATTGATTTCAGTGTGAAGAACGAGGTTTGGAGAGCTCCACTGTAAAAGCGGTTAGGTCCAACTTTTTTTACACAAAGTTATGACCCTCGGAAAAGTCCAATTTTGAAACTTGACTTCTCTCGAAAATTCCCAACCAAGTGTAATGAGCAACATTTCAAGTATCTGTCAACCTAACAAGATCTTGTATCGCTTCAATTTTTATAAGAAAACTTAATTAGTTGATGAAATTAATAGGTTTTGAAGTCATTAAATTGGGACTTACTTTTCTTTGCTATAGGTCTGTTTTTGAAATTACCCTTGTCCTTCCGCATCAATACAAAAAATTCAAAAGTTATCCAACAGGTATTTCCAGCTTTAGCTGGCCTCTAATTGTCTGTTTGATAGGTTTATGTTATTGAAAAGTCAGCTCCAATGTTGTATCATTTAGTTTTATGTTATTTTCGTTCGGCATAAACGGTTTCGTCTTATTGCGCTTGCGATCAGCAAGCGTTATAATATATGGGCTTAGTGGCCTCATATTGCGTCGTTTGATGAGCAAAAAATTAAGCTCCATGGGTGTATTTTCAAGTCTAGACTGCCTTTTTACCGCTTCGTATGATTTGTTCCGTTCATAATAGGCACTTTTTCTGAAATGATTTTTTCAATATATTTTAAGACAAATATTTGAAAAGATTGGTAAATCTAGTTTTTGACCATTTTGTACGCTTGTGATTACAAGCTTTATTCAGGTTAATATTTTGTTAACAGAATCACTTGAATCAGTTAATAAGAAATTCAAATTGTCTCGCAGTTGCCTAAATGTCAAACGCAAGATTTTTGTACTGTATTCAATTTTTATTGTAGTTGCAAGTGTTATGATTTAAAACTACTAGCCCTGACTTCTTATTTTTTTCGTTTAAAAGCTTTGTTCGGCCTAAGTTGTTTCGGCTTCCAGACATATATGTGTGTCGTTTGAAGGGAAGCATAGTTTTTGCACCTCCATTCCTCGGAATTAACAACAAAAGGATGAACATTTTAGAATTTTGTGACAAGCGCTTCAGTTTTTCATGACATATCTGTATTCGGCTCAACGGGAGGTTACTTAAGTTTTTTCACCTTATTTTCCGCTCGATTAATGTTTTTGAAAACTTATTTCACGCCGGAGATTGTATTGCTTCATACGAAACAAATTTATGAAATCAAACTCTAAAATTTTTGTAATTGTAAGTTTAGAAATTTTCATTTTTGCTCAATGGCTTGATAGCATGCTCTATCAATCCGGTATATTGCTTGCTAGTGTTTAGAAGATTCAAACGCATACTACTGGGTGAGTTATTAATCCTTCCAGGCTTAGTAACTTAGGCTTTGGTACTAGACAAGACGGCATATTTACAGCAACATACTGCGAAAAATATTCATTTAATGAAAATAATTTTGTTTTAATTTTAACAGAAGCTTTCCATTAGTTCGGCAATTTTCAAGAGTCGTCCTTTTAACATTGTTTTGTGAAATTTAAAGCTAAAATGACAAGAAGGTTGAACCCCAATGTCTTTTCAAGAAATCAACCGTAAATCCCCCCCCCCCCCCCCCCCCGCCAAATCAAATCAGGGGAAAATATGGATTTTTCATGACTAACTTTGAGAATAGCCTATATTCATTAAAAATTCAGCAACTTACAAAAAACAAAACAAAAAATTGATTTGATTGAAAAATCATTCTAAGCAATTACCAGCAATACAAGTTCAATCCCGCATCAAAAAAGGTTGAAACCATTTTTATATGCGCGATTTTTGAAATGCATATTTTATACAAAATCAATTTTCAGATTTAATACATGCTTGGGGAGGGCATTCCACGGTAGGTCACTTAGGGGGGAATTGTACGGTTGATCCCATGCGTCAATTAATTTTGTTGTCCCGCTCCATGTTTCTAATTTGCTCTATCTACATGAGAATTTTTTTCTTCACTTCCTATTATTTTCCATTGCATTTTTCATGCTTAACTTCCCGTTTTATGATAAGAAAGGGGACACTTGTTGGCCCTTAGCTCCGTGAACAATCGGTCACGTATTTCCTCTTTCAGTTTTACAATTCACATTTCTTCCTGCATCTGTGATGGAATTGGTATAATGTTTTCATGTATTATGTACACCTTTTAGTTATTTGTTCAGCGAGAGAGAATATTGAAGCAGATTTTTAAGACTCCCAATTTTGGGAGTAATAGAAAATAAGGCGCTTAGTGCAATGAGCCAATTGGTATAAAAGCAGACTGGGTTTGATGTTTTTTTTCTAAGTTAAATGGAATGTAACCAGTTTTCATTTGGTAATTTCTGCTTGAAATTGACCCTAAAGTTGTTTGCGTTCTCTCTCAGTTTTCTTGCTTGTCGGAAAATCAGGGAAAAGAATTCTGAACCTCGGTAATCATTTATGAATTTGATCATAACTGAAATGAACATTTCTGAAGTGAACATTTCCAAATTTGCATTTGAGAAAAAATGCAATTTTGGAAATGAAGTCGTTAAATCTATTTCTGCATTGAAACTTATCTGATATTTTCACACTTTTTTCATGGAAAAATGAATTAATAACTTTGCAGCCACTTTGCCTTACCTTGCAAAGCAAAGTCTAATTCCATTTACCATCCGCCAGGTTATTTCTTCAAAATCACATGACCGCCTGTCTAAGGAATCAACCGCGTGAATGGAAGCCAATCAGAAAAGAGGATAGAGTAAAAATGGCGGCACGTTGTGCTGAAATGGTATTAAATCACGTGACTTGTTCTGAGGAGAATTGAATGCAAAAAAGATGCGTAAAAGCCTCTAAATATAGTATCATGATGTGGGCATGTGTTTGAGTTTAAAATCGATATTAGGTTAAAATTAGATGAACTCCGACGTTTGATGCTGAACTAAATCCGAAGGCGAATCGATACCGTTTTAAGGAGTTAAAATACATGAAAGGCTCGGGTAATACAACCAGCTACATCTATTATTGGTCATCGATGTCTATAAATAAGAATGATTCTGTCATTACGAATTTCTTGTGACCCAAAAATAATGAGTAGTCTTGTCTATATTATATTACTGTAGGACGTTTATTTTCTGGCACAGATTTTCTGGCTTCGTATTTAATATCCATGGTTTTTCCGGCGGTAAGTTGAATTAGCCAACCTCTATATGTTAAAGTTATGTAAATGCTTTCTACATAAGTTTGGAGACCGTTTTAAAGAATTGAAAATCCTGATGACGATCCGCTGCTGTACCATGATGAGGAAAAACATGAAGTTTTTGTTTATTTTTCTCAGCTGTAAATTGAATCACCCTCTACTAATGATCTGGGATCATGTTCGGCTCCGAACCACCAACCTTTTAATTGAGACGCGCAGAACAAAAAAAAACTGTCAAAGAAGGAGCTGCACGGTGAAACGCTCAAACGCTAATTGAAAAGTAGTACAGTCTGTGTGAATTTAGGGCCCTGTTGGAGCTGGACTTGACTGTGAAGCCGGCTAGACTCTCCTCTCTACTGGAGCCTCTGTGTGATCCCTTCAATCGATTCGTGATCAGGGCCAGGGCAATCATACTCATCGAGAACATACTCGACTCAGCTAAAGTATGTAGACACTTTATTGTATAACTGAATGGAATTTCTAAGCTTTTTAAAAATCACCTTGAAATGCTCTTAAGAATACGTGGACCATTTACGTATTACGATGACTTAGTCATTTATAGGGATTTAATTTTGGGGGATAAGTAAAAACAGCCCAGCTTTTTGTAAATAAACTTAACCTGAATTTCCACAGATGGTTTTTGATTTAGTTTGTCTGTTTCTTTGTTTCAGTTCGGAGTGATGATGTGGCTGCTGACTTACATCGGAGCATGCTTCAATGCACTCAGTCTAGTTATGCTCAGTGAGTAACCAACCAACCAATCAGTCATCATGGCTGTTAGATTAGGGAGCCACTCGTATCAAAAATCCCTCATCTGATATTTCGCTTCGCTTACATCGTTCACGTAATAAGCACTGTCACAACTTCCAGCTTGTAGCATTAAAGTTTCTTATTGTCACAGTGGGTTAAAAAGATGGAACCATTTGTATTAAAAACATTCACTATCAATTTTGTAGCGAAGATGAAATCGATCACATTTAAGGCTTCTGTAAAAACATTGATTTGTAATAGTACATGAAACTGAAAGTGTGAACTGTCTTAAATTGTTTCAGCCTGGGTTGGTCTGTTCACAGTTCCAGTCCTGTATGAGAAGAATCAGGTACGTGTATTGTATGGTAACTTCAGATGGGTTGAAGGTAACCAAAAAGCAAAAAAGTTCGATAAACAATCAAAAGTAAACAATTCAAAAGATCCACTTTGAGAAAAAACAAGGTGCGAGATGTAATTATCGCATATAAGAAGAATTTGGTTTTTCATGGTTTCGTCTGTATATTGGTATGCTTAAAAAGCGCAAATTAATTTTGACTGTTGCTATTAATTGTTTTTCGAAATATTTTTCAATTTCAACTTTTCTATGCGCACCCGATATTCAGCTAATTGCCCTTTTGTTTATTTTTTCAAGAAGGGTTTTTTAAATTAGTTTTGTAAATTATAATCAAATTTTTTCTTTCTTGATATTATAGTGGTAATAATTAAGATTTATTTCAGAATTTAATTTCTAGTTTCAAATTAAGAGCTGCTATCCGGAGCTAAAAATAAATGTGGGGCTAAAAACATTAACAACAACTTGGTTTCTTATTAGTGATATATTCAACTTTTTTCAAATTTCTTTTTTTCTAGCACTTCGTGGATCAAATGGTGGGCGAATTGGTGAAGAAAGTGAAGCAGGCGATGAATGACGCTTACGCGGGAGTAGAGCCCAAGATTCAGGCGACCCTAGACAAAATGCCCCCGGCAGTCAAGAATGCATTCTCACAAATACTCGCCTCGAAACCAGTCGAGAAGATCGAATGAAGAAGCAGTGCAAATAAACAAAAGACACGATCTGGAAAAAATGGACTAATTTAAACACATTTTTTGAATCGAGAAACTTGTGGAAAACGGAAATTTTTTACGGAAGAATCTGGTACAAAAACTAAAAAGCCAAAAGTCTACTTTGTCAACAAAAAGAAAAAGGCTCCAAAGATCCAATAGCAAAGGAGCGAGAAGTTTTAGCGATAAAAAGAAACTTTCAAAAACTCGAGCTACTTTTGCAATGAAATGTTATGTCAAGATTTTCCGATATAAGTTATGCAAATTTTCAACCCCAGCAATAAGTTTTTTTTTCAATAGAATCAGTGAAAAATACTTAGTTTAGCAGAGTATTTATTATATGTTGCAAAGCTTGATTCATTTTTAATTTTGTACAATTTTCTTGTTGATTCTTACTTTTAAAACTAACGCTTCACTGGAAGATGAACAAATAAAATGTATTAGTATTGAGTCATCTAAATGAAGTTAGTTTTAAAAAGGTTTTATGATAATTGCGATGCCATAAATGCCCGAATAAATTACCCGATTATATCGATTTCGGCATGAAATGATTATTATTCTACTTTTTTTGGCTATGTTGTGATAAGTTATATGCTCCATGCTCGAAACTTTGCTGCTTTAAATGTCATTTAAATTAAATACATGGATTTTGGCAAGTCAGGAGTGAAATTACTGTTTTATATACAGCGGGTTCTGTTTATTGTATGAAGCTATGTAAGTGTCAATCCATGCATCGAAATGTTGATACATCAATTCATCATTGTATTTCGCTGTTTTTCCGAGAAATTTTAAAAAATGATGAGTTCTAAGCTTTCAAAAACAGCAAACTATGAGAGTTTGGATAAAGGTAATAATTACTTCTATCGAACCAGTCAATTTTTGCTGTTTTTGGAAGCTTGAAAAAATTTAAGGAGAAAATGGTACTCCAAGGCAGCGGGGAAAACGGTTTATCTGATCTTAACATCATCTCAATTAATAAGTATGCGAAGTTAACGGTTCTGCTTAGCGACGTCTGCGAATATAACTTAACTTAGCATACTTATTAATTGAGATGATGTTAACATCAGATAAACCGTTTTCCCCGCTGCCTTGGAGTTCATTTTTCTCCACATTTTTGGCAGTGCTTGATCATTGAAAGGGCCTGTTCAGTGGCAAGGAATTTGATTACCTTTTTGATGCAACTAGCATTCATGAATATTTGATCCGAATTTTTTACTTTATAGCTACCACCATCAACAAAGAAATTATCTGTTTGGGAGGATACACTTTTTTGCTACTAGACGAGTGCAGTATCTAATAAAGACCCCTCAAGCCATCAATAAAAAAGGGCAAATGAGGTTAAGCTATGCTTTAGAAAAAGTCATGCTTCAGTAAAGTCTGAAATTGCATCAGTATAAGTAAGACTTTTTGCCGCTTTTGGTTTCAAAGTTCAGTTCATGATCCTTAATCGAGACAATTAACCTAATCTAATAAAGAACATGGAAAGTGTTCAAGACATTTAGATTAAACGTGGATTTTAATTTTTAGATTTCCCATTGGATTAATAACTTACTGATCCAATTTTTACTCATTCGGCGTGTTTTGAAAAAAGTGTTGTTCATTACCAGCGCGCTAGCCCGAGAAGTGTGTTATGTGACTCTACTTTTTTCCATACCACCACGTAAATAAAAGTGCTCATTTGCTGTAATCACGCTTTGTAGAAATAGACCATGGCACAGAGGGAAGATTATGAGGTTCCTTAGCTACTGGTCGGAGTTGCAATGCCGCAAATAGCTCTATTGTTCATTACATTTGGTGGCAGTGTTCTGCATAGCAAATTTGTTAGCAACCTTAGCTGCTTCATTTGTGTCTAGTGTTAGAAAAGTTTCAATGGCCCGTGGCGCAGATGGGAAAACGTGAGACTCCAAATTTTGCGATCTCACTGCCGATTCCGAAAACTACCAAACTTGTACTTGTAATATTCAACCAGAACTGCCTGTGTCGTTTTTTTGCTTGTTTTCACGTTCCATAAGATCGGCGGCTAAATATTTATACGCTGACGAAGTTAGTGGAAACAGCTGAACAATGATTTTGTAGTTAACTCGAACAGGCTCTTCTCAGTTCCCCTCACTCTACTTTTCAATGAAATTCAATTTATGACAACCTTTTTAAAATTACTTTCGAGGCTCTAAGCTGCAATAAAATATGTCAACATGAAAAAGTGAAGAAAAAGGATTGAAAAAATGGAAAATTATTTTAGTTTGTTTTTGAGAAAAAAAAATCTTCACTGAAGTTAAAAAAACTCTGCTTTGTTCTTGTTGTCGAGCTTTTGCCATAATTCTCAAGTAGATAAGTCAAGTAGGGTCTTACTTGTTTGAATTTCTCAACGAAATTGATTTTAATTTGATTTTAATACATCTTTTTTCCCGACTGTTCAAAAAAAATTGTTTTATATCTCCATTGCAATGAAATGTGCCCGAAACTGAAGAAAATAAAGGCAGCAAAATTTCCAAAAGATGATGTTAGTTCCCGTTGAAGATTTAGAGAGCTATCTAAATTACTACATCTGAATTGTCCCAACAACTTTTGCGTAAATTAATTTAAATACTGTGACCATTTTTCGTTAAAAATTATGAATTTTAAACGGCCAATAGTATCGTCACAAGAAAAAGAACTTTGTTTTCCACATGCAATGAACGATGAATTTATTTGCGTTTTTGATGCTGTCTCCGGAAATGGAAGATATGCTGAGATCAGTTTTAAAAACAAAGAACATGAACTTTTTTATCCGGGTTTACTGGATTGTAAAATAGAAACATTTGCTACGACAGTGTAGTTTGGCCGGTCAAGCGTGTTCCAATTAATAAAAATTTTTGTAGTGCAAACACGGTCGTTGAAGGAACAAAAAGTTTTGAGTTTTTTCATTCCAATTTTTCTTCGGAATACAATGATCTTGACTTTTTCAAAACAGCAAAAAGGCGGACAAAGGACTGAAAAAGATACTTGGCGCGGATTCAAAGAACTTGTTTTCCTGTTTTTGACTAAAGAGACATTTGATTGTCTTCGGCGTGTATACCAGCAACTTAATATTTATTTTTTTATCAGACTTGTGTACAGTTATCAATTTTTTCATCATAATTGTGTATAGTTACCAAATTTTTGATGGAGTTTTTTTCGACTATTTTTAATCATCAGCGTGGAAATGCTCAATATTAAATCAGCTGTTGACGGCAGTCTAAGTTTTCCCGGATATTTTCACAACAAATAGAACAATTGTACAATGTGCTGTAATTGATTGGACAAATACTTCCGCTTGTGGATTGATCCAGTTAGGTTCTTTTGAAAGACTTAAAATGGTTAAAACGTCACACCACTAAATGAAAATAGAATAAAACGCTGGTTGAAACTAAAAACTGATTTTTCTCATGACTGTAAATGTAAAAAACCTGAATGCAAATAAAATGCGACCGCTGAAATTGGTGAAGAAGTATGGATTCGAATGTTTTTTATTTTTTAAATGTTTTTTCCTCCTCAAAATCGGGTACTACAAAAAATTCATTGGCATAGGTCGAGTGATACTAGGCCCGTTAAAAGCTTAAGTTATTTGTCTGATAATTTTCTCAAAGAAAATATACTGATGCGAAAAGTTATCCGTAATTTTCAAACTTCTTCAAAGCGTTTTAAAATGGACTTTTACGTCCTTGATTGACTCCCTATCAAAAATACAAACAAAAAATACTTTTACAGGGGAGATGATTGAAACATCTCTGTTCAATTTTTGCTTACTTTCAGAAATGAGATGGTTGTTTGTGATGTCTGAAAAATGGTTCCAAGAGTCTAATCTTGACCATTTGAAAAGGTTTTAGTGCAATCCTCGCCAAAATTGTCTATTCAAACTTGGTTGATTAATTGAACCCTTCATCTGAGATTTGGCATTGTACAGTGACGGGAAATAGAAGTTGCATTTTAATTTTCTAGACGCAAGTAGACGCTTGCGCAGAGACTTTTTGCACAATCTGTTTTTTCAATTAAACCATTGATCTCAGATTTGGCAGAGTAGTTTTCAAGAGAAGCTTTTCAAGAGAAGACAATAACAATAAAATTTGTACAAAAAAGACTTTTTCCAAGCTCGTGTTTTATTTTCTGCAATAATTAGGGACTAGCAGCTTATGCAAAGAACATTCATAATACCTATTATTTCGGTTGAACATCTAATCTTAGTTGCGGGAGGGTGGTTTTCAATAGAGTAAAAAAAATTTTGGGACATTTTCCTGGCTATAATTAAGAACTAATGTCTAATAAAACTATGTCGCAAGAACTGGGAATAGCCACTTGTATAGTGAAGTTCGCACAACCTGTAGTTTCGGTCAAACTTTTAACCTCAAATTTATCGAAGTGGTTCTTAAAAAAATAGAAAATTTCCAAAAAGCTATCAAAATGTCAAAAAACTGACCCTTTCTGAGCTTCAAAGCAAACTTTCTTCCTTCAATAATTTCAGCCTAGCGCTTAATGCAAAAAAGATTTGCAAAGCTTGCTCTCTTAGTTAAAAACTGCACCTCAGGTATTTTCGCAGTTTCAGAGAAAAAATCAAATTCGGTCAAACTTTCGAAAATAGAATATTGTTGTTCATCAAAGGAATAGTCCTATCACCTGTTATTTAGAAGAACCCGCAATCTCTCCTTTGGCAGAGTAGTTTTCAAAAAAACGAGTTCCCAAAAGCAATCAAAATCTCTAAAACTTCTAGGGTCTTAACATTTTGTCTTAAAATAATATGGTGTTGCAGTTTATGCAGTGGAGAAAATCACTACCTGTTTTTTTATTGAACACTTAATCTCAAATTTAGTATGGCAGTTTTTAAGATAACCTAAAAGTTTTATTCAAATTAGGGTCAAGCATTTTCTTCATTGAAAATCCCAAAAGCTGGAGAAAGTGGAGTGAGGTAAAAAAAAATACTAATGGAGTAAGCTTGAACTTAGTGTTGAAGTTAGTCTTTCTTTCTGTATTACTCTTTTAAAACATCGGTTTATAGATTTTGACAAAAAAAAATTTAAAGTTTTGCGAAAATTGAAAAAATCATCGAAAGCGTCTTAAAAAATGTCGCTTACAAAACCAAACCCATACCTTTTCATAACACCTGTTTTATCAAACAGGAATATCAGATTAGAGCACATTCAGTCGTGATTTTAGAAAAATCTCTGCCACCAGTTCTATCCTGCTTCGTATTTGCTATTTTTATATGTTTTTTAAAACCATGGCTATGGTTGAGTTCGTCCGTTCACATATGTTACTATATATTGGTTCCGATTCATAAACTTCTTGCACACAATTAGATTCCTACAACAAATATAATTTTAACTCAATGAAAATTGTATCTTCGAATAATAACTCAAATGCAAAAAAAATGCTCAAAACATTAAACGGACTTTTTTTATCTGAAAAACGTTTGTATTATATCGCCAAAACGTTTACAAAGCAACTTGTTCCATTGACTGATTCACGATATACTAAATTATTATTATCTAGTTTATAGGTTTGTTGACAGTTGTAATCACTATCAGTTTTAATGGCATTAGTGAAGATTACAACTAATATTCCAGCGTACCATCTGGAGTATAAACAAGACGAGACGAACAAACGGATTGTTCACGCTTTGCAGGTGTTGTTCGAAATTCCAGAAGAGGTGAAAAAATATTGCATGTTTTTATGGACCTATAGGGCTGATGAATATACAAAAACATACTTTAAGAAAATTAGCTGTCGAAAACTGAACCTCAACAGTAATTCATCTCATTGGTGGAATTTTTATTGGGCAATTTATGAGGGAACTCTCATTAGATTTAAAAGAAGAATTAATTAATAATCGATAAATATAGTAATTGAAGAACTGTTTTTTTTTTCGTTTTAGCATGTTTTGGTAACTTTGAACTCTGGCGTGTACATGAATCTCAAACTAAACCAGGAGCCAGTTCTTCTGGTGGAGATAACAGCTCAGTCCAAATCAATTCTCTTCTCTGAATACAATTCATCTCTGCTGATTAATATGATCAAGGAGAGTGCGAAAATTGAGCTACCTGATTTCCCAGAAGAGAGGTAAATTAGAAAAAGATTTTTTAAAGGACTCAGCAGAACGTGAATAAATAGATATGCTCAATAAAAATCCAAATCGAATTCAAAATAATGGAAGGAAAAGAGCCGAGCTCAAAAAAGAAATCAGTCCGCACTTTTAAAAAAATTAGCCCTTTGTTTTTTGGTTGGACCAATTAACTTATGAACACAGACGAAGCAGAGTTTTGCACCACTCATTATACGATACATTATAAACGATACATTATAAACAAAAATACATTATAAAAGATACATTATAAACAAAAAACAAAGGTGGAAAAAAATTTCCTTTATCTCGATACAAAACAACTAGGGTCTCAGTTAAACCTTGATGTACGTGTTTGATATTGATTGAAATTGCTATACTCAGGCGGCACGAAAAATTTGATTTCAAAAATTGGACTTTGCTAAAAAAAACTTAGTTGTTTCTCTAGTAAAATTATTGAAAAGAATGAAAAAGTTTTGAGATAATCAATTTTACAAAGAAATAAGAAGATAACAATTTCGGTTACAAAAAATAAAGAGTCGCCCCTTCTGCATGAACAATTATTGCAACCGGTTCTTTCAATTGATTTTTTCATTAGAGATTTGATTGCGTAAATTTAAAAAAGTCAGTAAGGTTCTAAAAAACAGTCAAAATTGTAAAAAAAAAAAACAAAGAAACGACCTTCCAAAATCCGTCAATTTTTCTGCAAAAAGCAGGTTGTGCCAACATAAGCAGATATGATTCCCAAAACCGGGTTTCTCGATTGAACACAACCTGACAATTGGCAAGGTAGTTTTCGCGTAGAGTAAAAAAGTTTCCAAAAAACTGCCGAAGTTTCAAATTTTTGACTTGTTTGAGGGCCATAAATTTTTCTTACACAAACTGGGCATAGCTAATTATAAAAGTAGGCTTTTTTGATGGAGTTTTTTTCGACTATTTTTAATCATCAGCGTGGAAATGCTCAATATTAAATCAGCTGTTTTTTGACGGCAGTCTAAGTTTTCCCGGATATTTTCACAACAAATAGAACAATTGTACAATGTGCTGTAATTGATTGGACAAATACTTCCGCTTGTGGATTGATCCAGTTAGGTTCTTTTGAAAGACTTAAAATGGTTAAAACGTCACACCACTAAATGAAAATAGAATAAAACGCTGGTTGAAACTAAAAACTGATTTTTCTCATGACTGTAAATGTAAAAAACCTGAATGCAAATAAAATGCGACCGCTGAAATTGGTGAAGAAGTATGGATTCGAATGTTTTTTATTTTTTAAATGTTTTTTTCCTCCTCAAAATCGGGTACTGCAAAAAATTCATTGGCATAGGTCGAGTGATACTAGGCCCGTTAAAAGCTTAAGTTATTTGTCTGATAATTTTCTCAAAGAAAATATACTGATGCGAAAAGTTATCCGTAATTTTCAAACTTCTTCAAAGCGTTTTAAAATGGACTTTTACGTCCTTGATTGACTCCCTATCAAAAATACAAACAAAAAATACTTTTACAGGGGAGATGATTGAAACATCTCTGTTCAATTTTTGCTTACTTTCAGAAATGAGATGGTTGTTTGTGATGTCTGAAAAATGGTTCCAAGAGTCTAATCTTGACCATTTGAAAAGGTTTTAGTGCAATCCTCGCCAAAATTGTCTATTCAAACTTGGTTGATTAATTGAACCCTTCATCTGAGATTTGGCATTGTACAGTGACGGGAAATAGAAGTTGCATTTTAATTTTCTAGACGCAAGTAGACGCTTGCGCAGAGACTTTTTGCACAATCTGTTTTTTCAATTAAACCATTGATCTCAGATTTGGCAGAGTAGTTTTCAAGAGAAGCTTTTCAAGAGAAGACAATAACAATAAAATTTGTACAAAAAAGACTTTTTCCAAGCTCGTGTTTTATTTTCTGCAATAATTAGGGACTAGCAGCTTATGCAAAGAACATTCATAATACCTATTATTTCGGTTGAACATCTAATCTTAGTTGCGGGAGGGTGGTTTTCAATAGAGTAAAAAAATTTTGGGACATTTTCCTGGCTATAATTAAGAACTAATGTCTAATAAAACTATGTCGCAAGAACTGGGAATAGCCACTTGTATAGTGAAGTTCGCACAACCTGTAGTTTCGGTCAAACTTTTAAGCTCAAATTTATCGAAGTGGTTCTTAAAAAAAATAGAAAATTTCCAAAAAGCTATCAAAATGTCAAAAAACTGACCCTTTCTGAGCTTCAAAGCAAACTTTCTTCCTTCAATAATTTCAGCCTAGCGCTTAATGCAAAAAAGATTTGCAAAGCTTGCTCTCTTAGTTGAAAACTGTACCTCAGGTATTTTCGCAGTTTCAGAGAAAAAATCAAATTCGGTCAAACTTTCGAAAATAGAATATTGTTGTTCATCAAAGGAATAGTCCTATCACCTGTTATTTAGAAGAACCCGCAATCTCTCCTTTGGCAGAGTAGTTTTCAAAAAAACGAGTTCCCAAAAGCAATCAAAATCTCTAAAACTTCTAGGGTCTTAACATTTTGTCTTAAAATAATATGGTGTTGCAGTTTATGCAGTGGAGAAAATCACTACCTGTTTTTTTATTGAACACTTAATCTCAAATTTAGTATGGCAGTTTTTAAGATAACCTAAAAGTTTTATTCAAATTAGGGTCAAGCATTTTCTTCATTGAAAATCCCAAAAGCTGGAGAAAGTGGAGTGAGGTAAAAAAAAATACTAATGGAGTAAGCTTGAACTTAGTGTTGAAGTTAGTCTTTCTTTCTGTATTACTCTTTTAAAACATCGGTTTATAGATTTTGACAAAAAAATTTTTAAAGTTTTGCGAAAATTGAAAAAATCATCGAAAGCGTCTTAAAAAATGTCGCTTACAAAACCAAACCCATACCTTTTCATAACACCTGTTTTATCAAACAGGAATATCAGATTAGAGCACATTCAGTCGTGATTTTAGAAAAATCTCTGCCACCAGTTCTATCCTGCTTCGTATTTGCTATTTTTATATGTTTTTTTAAACCATGGCTATGGTTGAGTTCGTCCGTTCACATATGTTACTATATATTGGTTCCGATTCATAAACTTCTTGCACACAATTAGATTCCTACAACAAATATAATTTTAACTCAATGAAAATTGTATCTTCGAATAATAACTCAAATGCAAAAAAATGCTCAAAACATTAAACGGACTTTTTTTATCTGAAAAACGTTTGTATTATATCGCCAAAACGTTTACAAAGCAACTTGTTCCATTGACTGATTCACGATATACTAAATTATTATTATCTAGTTTATAGGTTTGTTGACAGTTGTAATCACTATCAGTTTTAATGGCATTAGTGAAGATTACAACTAATATTCCAGCGTACCATCTGGAGTATAAACAAGACGAGACGAACAAACGGATTGTTCACGCTTTGCAGGTGTTGTTCGAAATTCCAGAAGAGGTGAAAAAATATTGCATGTTTTTATGGACCTATAGGGCTGATGAATATACAAAAACATACTTTAAGAAAATTAGCTGTCGAAAACTGAACCTCAACAGTAATTCATCTCATTGGTGGAATTTTTATTGGGCAATTTATGAGGGAACTCTCATTAGATTTAAAAGAAGAATTAATTAATAATCGATAAATATAGTAATTGAAGAACTGTTTTTTTTTCGTTTTAGCATGTTTTGGTAACTTTGAACTCTGGCGTGTACATGAATCTCAAACTAAACCAGGAGCCAGTTCTTCTGGTGGAGATAACAGCTCAGTCCAAATCAATTCTCTTCTCTGAATACAATTCATCTCTGCTGATTAATATGATCAAGGAGAGTGCGAAAATTGAGCTACCTGATTTCCCAGAAGAGAGGTAAATTAGAAAAAGATTTTTTAAAGGACTCAGCAGAACGTGAATAAATAGATATGCTCAATAAAAATCCAAATCGAATTCAAAATAATGGAAGGAAAAGAGCCGAGCTCAAAAAAGAAATCAGTCCGCACTTTTAAAAAAATTAGCCCTTTGTTTTTTGGTTGGACCAATTAACTTATGAACACAGACGAAGCAGAGTTTCGCACCACTCATTATACGATACATTATAAACGATACATTATAAACAAAAATACATTATAAAAGATACATTATAAACAAAAAACAAAGGTGGAAAAAAATTTCCTTTATCTCGATACAAAACAACTAGGGTCTCAGTTAAACCTTGATGTACGTGTTTGATATTGAATGAAATTGCTATACTCAGGCGGCACGAAAAATTTGATTTCAAAAATTGGACTTTGCTAAAAAACTTAGTTGTTTCTCTAGTAAAATTATTGAAAAGAATGAAAAAGTTTTGAGATAATCAATTTGACAAAGAAATAAGAAGATAACAATTTCGGTTACAAAAAATAAAGAGTCGCCCCTTCTGCATGAACAATTATTGCAACCGGTTCTTTCAATTGATTTTTTCATTAGAGATTTGATTGCGTAAATTTAAAAAAAGTCAGTAAGGTTCTAAAAAACAGTCAAAATTCTAAAAAAAAAAAAACAAAGAAACGACCTTCCAAAATCCGTCAATTTTTCTGCAAAAAGCAGGTTGTGCCAACATAAGCAGATATGATTCCCAAAACCGGGTTTCTCGATTGAACACAACCTGACAATTGGCAAGGTAGTTTTCGCGTAGAGTAAAAAAGTTTCCAAAAAACTACCGAAGTTTCAAATTTTTGACTTGTTTGAGGGCCATAAATTTTTCTTACACAAACTGGGCATAGCTAATTATAAAAGTAGACTTTCAACTACATGTTGTTTCGATTTATCAATGATATCAGATTTGGCAGAATAGTTAGCGAGAAAATTCCAATAAACGGTTAACAAATTAAAATAATTTTCGAGAATCTTAGTTTTTTGCGTGAAAAAAGGCGTAATCGCTTATGCAAAAAACATTTGCGCAAACTGTTGTTTCAATTGAACCCAAGATCTCAAATTCGGGAGGGTACTTCTCGATAAAAGTCAAAACTTTTTTAAAACATGGTGGATAAATTCAAAATTCTCGGAGGCCATAGGTTTTAGTGTCAGAAAAATTTGGGCATAGTCGCATAAACAAATTAGTTTCCCCATAACCCGTTACTTGACCTGAACCAAAAATCTCAGATATGGCAGAGTAGTTCTCGAGAATATACAAACAGTTAAAAAAAACTCTCCAAAAATCAAAAAATGGCGATAACTTTTTGTGTAAAAAATCTTGTGACCGGCCACTGAAGCTGGGGAGCTGGGGCGTTATTTCCAATAAAATGACAAAAGCATATTTGAGAGGTTAGTTTTCTAGAAGTCAAAAGATTCACATAACGGTCAAAATTCAAAAATTTGACGATTCCGGGGCCAATAAATTTATGTGCAAACAAGAATTAGGCGTAACGGCTCATGTATAGAACTTTTCAAAACTTTTTTATTCATTCAAACTAAAAACTAAAATTTGAGAGGGGTTATTTGAGAAAACGGAAAAATTGAAATATGTCTCAAATATTTCCCCACAGACTTTCTCGAAGGCTGTAGACAGAGGGGTCAAGTAAAAAGAAACTCTAGGCGAGTATGCAGGCTCACAGATGAGTAAGCGGTCTTTCAATTGGTACCTTTTCTTTGAAACTCAAAAAGGTTTCTGAGCAAAAACTAAAATTTTTCCACTAAATTTGGAAGTAATTTTCATTAACGAAAAAAAATCAACAGACCGATTGGTAAACATACAACCAGCTTGAAAAATGCGATGAGTAGTGTTAAAATTGTACTTTACTTGCAACTACCCAAATTTAGGTCAATAAGCCGATAAAAAATAGGCCGAAATGTTTCGGGCCAAAGAATTTTTTTCAGCGAAACAAAAAAAAAAACAGAAGGAAATACGAAACCAAAGTAAACAAAATACAAATTATAAGAATATATAAAACACTAAAAGCCATATTTAAAAAGCTAGCAGCAAAAAAAACGACTCCAAAATGTGACAACTTAGACAAGATTGTAACAAGAATTTTTTAAAGCGAAACAAAAAAAACAAAGAAGGAAATACGAAGTGAAGGTAAACAAAATTACAAACTATAAGACTAATAAAACACTAAAAGCAGTATTAAAAAAGCACGCAGCAAAGACGAAGCCACTCTGAGACTAAGCCCACAGCAGATAAGCAGAGAAATAATTGACCGACATTTTTATTTGAAGCAGAACATTTTTCGTTTGAAAAAAAAAAGGTCCTGGGCAGATATGAACCCAGGACCTTTGCCATTCCCTGCATGTTCTTTACCTCCAGGTTAAGTTGGCCGGGAACGCATTGAAGTTTGAATTCATTATAAGCCAAGATACAATTGATTATGTTAAAAAAAGTTGTTAACGCGAAAAAACGACTATCTTCCGGTTTGATGACGCTTGCTAATCGCAAGCGTAAAGAGCTTTGCAGCAGTTTCTGAAGCCTAAAAATCGAAGGCTTGAAGAGTTTTCTAAAGCACGTTTTTCTGTTAATTGCCGTTAAAACGATTTTAAAATAATATCACACTTGATATTGTATGATCTTGAGTGAATGAAAGTTCACCATGGTCATGCACCAGAACAAAGCAACAATCTGCTTGCACAATTTCGTAGTATGATGTTTGGACAAAAACTTTTCCCCAAATAAACCGAAAATTAAAGCATTGGTTAATGTTACAGGATATCCATTCACAAATAATCATATAAATACTGATCCATATAAATAGTTTCTATTATAGGTCCACATTTATCAAAATATTTTTTTTGTAAATCATCTTAAAAAAAACAGTTTGGAACCAGTTTGAAAAATAGATAATTTTTTAGAAAGCATCATCCTAAAAAGCCCAGTCTGGGAGATCATCTTTAGACACGTGATGTCTGCTTTCGGAAGTTTCTGTAAGGTGTCATTATACCAAATCATAATAAAAATACTGCAATTGGGGTTATTTAGAGTGATAGTGTTTCTTCATGCCCACCCGGAACACTTGACTTCATTTGGATCATCGTGTGACAGATCAGCTCAAGATGCAACAGAAACTTCAAGTGAAGAATACGCAAACCCGTTGTATAAAAATGGACACTCATGAAAATGAAACAATAATTTCCTTCAATATTTAGTCTACTAGGGAAAAACAAGGACCAATTGACCTGCCTCGATACGTTTTGGAAAGATTATTTGAGCACTTTCAAATAAGTCTGGCTTACGCAGTAAGCATCATCGTAAGTGAATAAAATTGCGCATGGTTAAGCCCGGCACATTCACAAATTCCAACTTCTTAACCTTCAAAAATTTACAAAAATCATCGCATATTGAATATCTTTTGCACATAAGCGCAGGAAATTGATATCTCAAATTGACAGAAAAATGTTCCTCAAAGTATGCGATAAACTTTAGGTGAAGGACAAAGAGACGGGTCTGATCTAGATAGTATCCTCAATAGCGAGCTAAACAAACAAAATGAAGACGTTCTGGTGGGACACAGTTAGTTGTTCGGCTAACCATTTTCAACTAATTGGGTGCGTTGCTTCTACTTTGTTTGCCTCACTTTGTTTCATAATTGCCTATTAAGCTCACTGTCTGGATCAGACTCGTCTCTTTGTCATTCACGAAACTTTGAACGAAAATGTCCGGCTTAACTGGGAAAATTGACATACGATCAAAGGACTTAAAAATAACAGATGAGACAAAAAAAAGAACAGCCAAGTGAGATATTAAAAAAGTCAATAATCGCAAAAAAAAATTTTCAATCATTTTCAGCTTTTGATTGTCAAGAAAAAATTATATCACGCTTAAAACTTTTAATTTTCTCTATAATAAAAAATTTTTCATACAACTAACCCAATCAGTAGAAATTGGTCCAATAATTAAATTTTCTAGTTCTCTAGAAAATTCTATGAAATTGATTCTTTTCGAAACTGGATGAAATTCACGTTTCTTTGCGCCATTTATACTTCTATTATTGAAAGCAAAATTTAGCTTATGGATTTATTCTTTTCTTCTTTACTGCAAGAAAACAAAAGGACACGTTACTACACAGAGGCAAAGATGCATTTCTCATACTCAAGCAAAAACATCACCGATAAAGCAACTGGGAAAACCTGAAAACTGAATGAGTAAAGCTTTGAGTCAACAAAATTTCTCAAGTGACGCACGCCAATTATGAGTCTACATAATTGCTAAGTGACGCAACCCAATTATGACGCATTAGCAGAACCCGTCAGTTTGAAAAAAAAAATAATAACTAACATGCCTCAATATATAGAGCGGACGCATTTTAACCAGTATACGAAAAAATTCATAAAAACATCCGACACTGCCCAAGTTCGCACCTTCTTATTTTGTGGCGGATCTCCTTCCCTACCTTTACACTACATATCCCTGATACCTTAAAACTAAAAAAAACTACCAGAGGCCCAGCTAAAGCTGAAGGTGCCTGTGTGATATTTTTGAATTTGTCCAAGAAACCTGTTTCTTGCTCAAATTTTAAGCAGTTATGCACGGAGGCTTCTTACAACCTGTTGCCTTGATTTAACATTTGATATCAGATTGAGTTGTTTTCGAGAAGTCAAAAATTTAAAACGGTTAAGAAATCAAAACATTGTTTTTTCTAAAGCCCATAACTTTTTTGTGTGAGGAAAATTGAACGTGAGTGCTTACACAGAGAGCCCTTTCTCTCTTCATTGAAAGCAAGATCTCAGATTCGGGAGGGTAGTTTTTGAGAAAAACAAAAACGTTTAAGAAACAGTCAAAAATTCGACTTTTCCGAGGTCCGAGGGTCATAACTTTTTGTGTAAAAAACCTGGTCGTAACCGCTTTTGCAGGAGAGCTTCTCACAGCCCCTTCTACTTATGGAAGCCAAATTCTAAGAATTGAGAGGGTACTTTTCGAGAGAAGTCAACTTTGAAAAAACTGTCAAAAAATCGAAAATAGTACTATTCGGAGGGTCATAACTTTGTGTTAAAAAAATTGAAGCAAAATCATTTATACAGCGGAGCTTCCCAAAACCAATTCTACTCATTGAAACCAAAACTTAGATTTGAAAGTGTAGTTTTAGAGAAAAATCGAAATAGAAAAACTTTGAGCGTAACCACTAAAGCAGGGGAGCTCTCCAAAACCCATCCGTTCCGTTGAAACTAAAATCTCAGACAACTGAATGTTTTGAGGGCCATAACATTTTGTGTAACAAAATTTGGGCGCAGCCGTTTATACAGGGGAGGTTCACTTGACTTGTTCTATCCATTAACCCCAATATCTTAGATTTTGTGTGTCGTTTTCGTGAAAATACAAACAAAATCTAGAAAAATGGGTTCAAAAATTCCACCAAACATTTTTTCGAAGGCTGCAGAAAGTGGGGTAGGGTAGAAAGAGACTAAGTGAGTATGCAGGCAAACAGGGGAGTGGCCGGACTCGCCATTAGTACCACTCTTTTGAAATTCGGTAGAGCAGTTTTTGAGAAAACGAAAATTTTTCAAAGCGTCTAAAAAAACCGATCCCATACATTGTCATAATACCTTTTTTTATCAAACAGAAATTTGTAATTAAATAGTCTGTTTTAATATCCTTAGCATTGTCTGTACTTAATAGCTGGTTATTGATCAAACTGAACACTTTCAAAATGAACACATTTAGCCGCAACAAAATTAGCGTCGCTACAATATTTGCGACTTAGGTTGGAAAAAAATATGTAGTTCATACTATAACACAAGCATTGGTGTGTAAACATCAAAAGTCAGTTTAAGTAGACTTTTATATTACGAATTTCAGAAAAATCAAAAGGGGAACTTGAAAACAGCCGTGTATTCGTTACCTCAAGACCAAGTATGCCGTAAAATGTAAGCAATTTGAACTCATTCTGAACCAAGATACCAACTGACACAAGTGGTTCTGTTAAACAATTTTTCACCCGAAAAAAGTCTGTATTCAAATTTGATAACGCTCACTAATCGCAAGCGTAAAAAGGAAGATTCAATCATCGTAGCAGTTAGATCCAGCCATTCAGCTATTACTGTCTCTACCCTTTATCTTTTTTCTCTCACTTTTTTTAAAGGCGTATCATGTTGCCTTCAGCGAAGTAGTCCTGGACAACGCAGAACTTGAATGTTCTTTACTTTCAGTCCTTTACTCGCATAATCTTTGATCCCATAACTCAGAATAGGGAGAAATTTTGACGCACGGGGTTTCACAGCGAATTCAGGTTCCTTAATTCATTCTTTTCTTTTGCGGAGTGTAGTTTTATTTGAAGGCCCTTTGCACTGTTGATTTAGAAATGCAAAACAAAAACAACTGTCGTCGAGAAACTTTTTGTTTTTTGCTCAGCAACAAGGCACGCTATTTATTTGTTTGGTAGTTCATTTAGATATGATCAAATAACATCTAACGCTACGGAGATTCCCAGATTGCTGTTCAACCAGTGCCCAATATTTTAACTACAATCATAATGACTTTTTACAGCTTTTCACTTAACACAAATTCAATTCTTACTTATTTCTTCAGACTGTCGCAACTAAATCATTAAATATGCACATGAAACTTTTAGGCAAAAATTATTAACCATTTGAATTTGAATTTCGATACAGTTTAGAGAACATTAATGAACTAATAAACTGCATCAAATACTGTACGGGCAGTACAGCCCAACTGGCAGTAACCCGAGGGAAACCTAGGTAAATAAGTGACGGCAAAAACAGAGTTATTAAAGTTGCACCTTTGGATTCCACAAATAATCATCCTATTAGCATGTCAACAAGCAATCGGTTGTCATTCAGGTATATATTTTTAAGTTTGACGAAAAAATCTTTCTTTTGCTTGTCAGAATATTAAGATTGAGGGGTAACAAATCTTTTGACATCAAAAAAGTTGAAAAATTTCAGAGTTTTGTAGAACATCGAATTTTGAGCTAACTTTGTTTTTCTTAAAGGTAGTGACAAACATCCTAAACTACCCCGTGCGCGTGAGTCTACCCATTTTTCTTGATTGAAGATTTAAAAAGTTCAAGAAGGACACATCTAAGAACTGAAACATTGCCTCAGAACAATTGGCTGATGAACATTTCATACACATTTTGCTGCATGATCATACTTACGAAGAAAAAAATGGTTCTTATAATTTTTTTCTGTATCAAGAAAATTTTATCAAAATTTGTTTTCGAAGTACATCATCCGTACGCTATGAAGCCATAGGAAATTATCAGAATCACGTATGCCGAGTAAAACTTAAGTAATGACTGTTTAGAGAAGCATGATCTTCCTCGGTACAAAACACCAGTGAATTTCGACATCTTTTTTGCCAATTTTTTCCGTTTGATTATTAAAATTCAGTTTTTTGTCAACTTCGATGCCCAAATATTTAAAACTATCCATATTTTCCATAGTCTGGCCAGCAAATGAAATTTTGGAATCCGATAGGTCTTTTCCAAAAGCCATTAGTTTACTCTTGTCCGTATTAATCGATAGCTTGTTGACATTGCATCAGTCATTAAAGTTCTGGATATCTTTGCTGATTTCTTTTATAAACATTGGTATTTTTCCAGAACCTACAATTGCAGTGTCATCAGCAAAAAGACTTATTTCAGTTACTTCATTCAAAATTGAAATATCATTGATTTATATCAAAAACATTAAAGGCCCAAAACTAAGCCCTGGGGCACACCACAAATTATTTTTTCTAAAGACGAATTTATGGTACCATCAGTCACATATTGTACCCTGTTAGTTAAATAGTTTTGTAGCAAATTTAAAAATTTTTCCACGAAATCCATATTTTTCTAAATTAATGATTAAAATATCATGGTCAACAGTGTCAAATGCCTTTTTAAAATCCAGAAAGAAGGTCATTCCATAATCTTTTTGCTCCAAAACTATGCGCATATATTCAGTTATCCGTGTAATTGCATGTACACATGAGTGCTTTGGTCTGAACCCAAATTGTTCAGGACAAAGTATTTTGAATTTCTGTAAAAATTTTATCATTCGTCGGTGAATAAGTTTTTCAAAAAATTTGCTAATTGTCCGGTAACTATTAAAATCAATGTCACTTCCACTTTTGAAGAAAACAATTACGTTCGCAATTTTGCAAATATCAGGAAAAGTCTCTTCGATGAACATTTCATTAAAGCAAACAACCATGAGCTTCATAATGACTGGTACACAAAGTTTAACCATCATATTACTCAACCCTTCATGACCAGTCGAATGTTTGTTTTTAAAATTCTTAATAACTGTTGCCATTTCGTCAATGTCAGTGGGTAAGAAAACAAAAGTCTCGCAATTGCGAGAGATTCTATCAACATATTTGAAATCCCCAATTTTTTTTTGAAAGTTGAGGTCCAATGGCTACAAAAAAATTAATCATTCACCTCTAACTTATTTGAACTAAATTTCTTTTTTCCACAAAACTTATTAAAAACTTGAAACATTCTTTTTGAGTCATTAGAGTTACCCAACTCATTGTCATAAAACTTTCGCTTTTCTATCGCAATTTCTTTTTTGGTTTCATTCCTCAATTGTTTGAACTTTCTTTTAGTTTCATTATTGGGAAAAGTAATCATTCTTTTATGCGCAGTATCTCTGTTTTTGCACAGTTTTTTAACATTTTTGGTTATCCAAGTTTTTTTCCAATATTTTTTGATATCAACTAATTAAGAAGTGCAAAACCTATCAAAAACATTGATCGTTGACCGAATTAAAAACGGAATTTTAAAATTCACGGAATTATTTACGATCAATTTTTCCAATTCGATATGTAGCAGAAATAGTAGTTTAATTACGTTGTCGTCACGATTCAGTACTTTAATATTTCTGGCATAAGAAACAGTTTTAGCAACCTTAGCGATAGTAAATGGCAATTCACCAAACAATGCATAGTGGTCACTAATTGTTGATTTAACTACTGTTACTGGAAAAAATCTCCTGAAATCCAATGATCAATGCAGGTTGCACTATTTTTAGTGACTCTGGTTGGTTCACTCAAGAAAACATCCAAGTTAAAAGATTTCAGAAGCAATTTATAACTGTAAACTTCTGATTTCTTATCACTCGAAAATATGTAAATATTGAAATCTCCCACGATTATAGGTGTTCCTTTTAAAAATCGAAGTTCATTCAACAGAGTATCCAGACTTTCCAAAAATTTTAGACACGTGTGATCAGGTGGTCTGTAGACAACGTAAATATTATTAAACTTAGTTAAATTGCTGCAAATAGTTATAGCTAGATATTCCAAATCTGATTTCAGATCTTGAAGAACAAATTCAACTACAGTTTTTACAAAAAAAAGCTACACCACCACCCCTTTTTCCCTATTTGTAAAAACTCCTTTCTGATAACCATCCAACTGAACATTTCCAAACAATCATTTTCTGTCAACCATGTTTCGCATAAAGCTATAAGTAAATATTTTTTCTTGAGTGAATCAACCAAAACAAAAAGCTGGTCATGATGTAATCTAAGTGATCTTATGTTAAGAAAGAAAACGCTCTCAGTTTCCCCAGTATTTGCCTCCATTAAGTTTCCCAAGTCCAACAAACAAATAAGGCAATAAATTAAGTGGTTAAGTTAAGGTTAAGTTAAGTTGTATGTTGAAAGTACTTTACTCATCGTTTACTGTTTCATATGACTGCATAGTACCGCCCACGAATCCTTTAATGAAATCCAATAAAGTATTATCATCATCCATATGCTTGACCAATTCACTTTTCAGAGTTTGCATTTCTTCGTTAGTTATAGATGCTGGCGATGGTAAAACTTGAAAGCGAAAACGCTTTTTAGCCGGTGTTATATTGTCCTTCAAAACCTTACTATACAAAATTTCCGAATTAGTTTTAGCTGACCTGATAGTGTTGACTTTGCTAACCGCAGTGTTGCTTAGGCCCTCCAACTCCTCCATAGTACCTTGACACTTTTAAAATTTCCTCCGATATCTTTAACTTTCACAAAAGGAGTAGAATTCCATGTAGAAACAATCATGCCTCTCGATTCAGCTTCAATTTTCAATCCCGAATCATGTTTTGATAACCTTTCGTTAATATGTACCGGTCTATTGTTGCACGGGTTGACGAAATTTCGAAACAAGTTTTCGAAATTTCTAAGCAAAACTATTTATTGAGATTTTTTCAATCACAGCACGAAAAAAAACATGGCGAATTAGTCGACAAAAATTGAATTCCAATATTTGCTCATGTTTCGATATGCTTTGAAAACAGTTCAGCTTGAAAAAACATGCCAAGACCATAAGGTATGCAGTACGAATCGGAAAAAACTTACAGAGCGGCAACAAAGCCGACAAGTCCTCACTCGAACTTTTTTATCAAATCAAACTTATCGCTACAAAGATAGGGAAGGCTTGGAAACAGGAGAAATGTGCATTTCAGGGCCTTAAATTCACACATCTGCTCTTCCTAAGCCTTCCTTTCATAGAATAAATAAAAAACTGAAATCATACCAAATCAGAGCTGGTAAGTTTACAACCAACTAAAAAGTAAATTTTAAAAATAATAGGCGCCTAAGACGCATATATGCTCATAATTGATAGGGAATGACATTTTAAGGTAGACAGAACCTCATTAAATAGTGTCAATGAAAAATTTGTTTCCAAAAATTATTAGTTGGGCAAGTTTGTATAAATTTATGCTACACAACACTTAACTCCAATTAAACAACATTCGGCTCAATGATGGAATGTAATTTATTTGCAACCGAAATTCAACAAACTTCCAATATTAGATTTTATTGTCAATAAAATTATTAAATTGTTCGGTTGAAGTCATTTTTTCGCCCCAGTTGTTTGACATCAGATTACTCGAAGCGATTTTTGAATAAAAACACGTAGTTTATTAGCAAAGCTTGGTAAAAATTAATGCAAATAGCCCCAGGAAAATGCAGGGGGTAAAATTATGGAAGTACAAAAAACGATCTGGATTAATACAGCACCATTAAAATCATATAGCAATTTTAGCAAAAAAAATTCCAATTACAAAATATGTCTATTTACTTGAAGTAATGATAACACGACGAATCAGTTCAGAAATCAAGATCAATTCTCAGTTGAAGACAGTTGTTAGCTCATACTTATTTCAGGCCTGCTCACTTTTCAGTTTTAGGTCAATCGCAACCCTATTAGCGGAAATAGGGTTCATGTACTGTTGCATACTCAGGAAAGTGTCGATCGCCCTCTGTCGAGAACTCTCGTTTTCATAGAGCGACACGTACACAGGTCGGAGGAACTTCATTCGCCCGCATGTTTTCACCAGTTCTAGTGCCGGTTCGATGGAGGAATCGATCCCACTTTTGAGGCCCATTCTAAAACATAGGAGGTTACCAGAAAAGCATATGGTTGTGTTATTTCAACAGAAAGTTCCGATCACAGATGCAATTTTAGAAATGATAAGTTTGAACCAAGCTAAATTTAGCGAAATATAGAGACATCGATTGCAACGGTTTGAATTTAATTAGCTCTTCAAAATACCAAATATCTCTTCATAAAGCAACTCAAAAAATGAAGATTTCAAATTATTAAGAACTTCTATGCTATGAATAGAAACCATTTTCCAGTAATTTAGTTGAAACGGTTGCACTTAAGAGACCTGCTTAAATTTCGTGAAAAGTTTATCAATTGCGCATGATTTGTGCGGCAAAATTTTACCGAAAAAAAATATCTGAGAAATTTCGTAGCAACTTCTCATTTTCGCTACATGTAAACTTCATTATAAGTAGTCTGCCGCACACCTACTTCGAGCATTACCTTTTCTTTCAATTTTACAGCTGAACCACTTCAGATACAAATGGTAATTTATACTAAGCTATCGACAGACACGCCTTCACTTCGTTAGATCAATTTTAAATGTGCAAAAAAAGGAATTCCGATACTTTCATCAAAAAATTTTCCGGAAACCCTCGAAAAAAAAAAACGTAAAACTTGATAACCGGTATAACTGAAGCGCAACAGCGATTCTGAATTTATATTTTAACGAACTAGTTTTTCTCAAAAGAAAAATTCTCTTGGAACCACTAACTTAAATGCTGTTTGTTAAACATGCACATTAGAATACCTTATCCAAGGGGTCCGCAGTTCAATGTTATTCGTGTCTCTCAGTTCAAATTGTCCGGTCAATTTTTCAAACTTCTCCTCCGGCCAAATCAATTCATGTTCTCTCAAAGAGCCCAAAATTGCAATTTTCAAGTCCTGACTCCACGTTTTCAGGTCTGGATACTCGGCAACGATTCTATCGTAATCTTCAGCAGTGGAGGCTTCTGTCCATTTTTGAACGACTTCTTTGCATTTATCAGTCAACGGATTATCCAAATCAATTGTAACAACACTTCTTCCAGGACTTGTAAAAATCTGTTCCCAGGGTTGTGCTTTTAAGACATCAGCTTTAGCTGGAAAATACTTTATAAGATGCTCCAGCCACGCTTTGGTCCTGATTGGTGTATCTTTGAAAGTCTCCACGTAGTTTTTGATATACGGCGCAAAAGCTTCAGGTCCGCCTACTAAACTTTCAACATAGGTTAGCAACATGCATCCTTTTTCATAAGGCACTGCTGAGAAAGCATCTTCTGGATCGCGATTGGTCAAATTTGGAACCAATGCTGTCAATTCTGGTTTCTGCAACCTTTCAAACTCTTCGAGACTATCGTTCAGGTGTTTTTGCTCCTTGTTCAACAGAAACTTGCGATATGATTCATCTTTTTCCATCACCGCTTTTATTTTATCCTCAATGAATCTGGTCCAGCCTTCGTTCAGCCAGAAATGCTCCCATGAGACGGTTGTAACCAGATTGCCAGTCCACGAATGAGTAATTTCATGCGCCAAAACAGACACCATAGATCTATCTCCTGCCAGTAAAGTAGGCGACAAAAAGGTCATATTAGGATTCTCCATTCCTCCAAAAGGAAATGTCATAGGCAGCACCAGGAAATCATATCTCGTCCACTGATATGGCCCGCAAATACTTTCCGCAATTTGCAGGATACTTTCGACATCGGCAAATTCATAAGCACATTTATCGAGAATTTCCGATTCAGTCCATACAGCGCATCGATGCCTGCAAAACGAAAGGAATTTTCTAAAACTGGAACTCTCAAGAATACTCGCCTCTAAAAAGCTTCTTAAAAGTTACTTAAATTTAGTCTATTGATCGATTATCCATAGATAGATAACAACCGAAGTTACTTTTGACACTTATTGTAGCGTTAAGGCATTGTCATCGGATATACTTGAATCACGCCACAAAAAACCCTACCATAAGGCTTCTATTTTATTAACAATTATCTATAGTAAATGACAGTACATGACAGTATCCTTTTTCTGTTTACTGTATTAGAAATATGACCACTCACCCGAAATCATGCTTGACTAAATTTCCAACAGCAATGGCAAAGAGATATGCAGGAATAGGTTGCTTCTGGGAGAACTTGTAGCACATTTTTTCTCCAGTCGCAGTTCCTTCTCCGTCGATGATGGCCGACATCACCACTGCCAGCCCTGCGAAACAGCTTCTTGTTCAACTTTTTCACTTAAGAAGTTCCAAATGCAAGACATCACTCACCAAAGAGCTGGAAAATTGTTAAACAAAAAGGGAAAACAACTTAGCTTCGAATTTTTGAACCATTCGATACAAAACTTTTCAAATTATTAGAAACTTTTTAGGACCCTTACTCTTTGAACTGCATGTTTATATCTGGTAAAAATTCATCAAAACTAATTCTAATTGACCAACAATGGGGCCAAGAATTATACCACTATTGGATGAAAGAGACGTTCCTTAGAACGACAGTAAAATTTACCATTCTTCATAGGTTATATCGTAAAGTCACGCATTTAGCCATAATTACATGTAAAAATAACTCTGAAAATAGAAACTTTGAAATATGAGGGGAAAGTGGAAAAAGCTAATGCCGGCTACAAATACAGTTTTGACCAAAAAAAACAAATTTCAAATCCACACTGTTAAGCATTGTGAAAAAGCATGATTGAAATATTCTTATTTCCGCTTGCTTTGTTGACCCTTCTTAATGAAGTCTTTTGAAATCTGAACCAGTAAGTAATTGATTTTGTGTCAAGTTTTAAAATAATTACTTACTGGTTCAGATTTAAAAAGACTTCATTAAGAAGGGTCAACAAAGCAAGCGGAAATAAGATTATTTCAACCATGTTTTTGCCCAATGCTTAACTGTGTGGATTTGAAATTTGGAGATCAAACTTAATCTAACCTTTCTCCACAGTGACATTTGCGGTGTATGGGAACTTGACTCCCGGTGTGTCCTGACAGGGAAAGAGCGATCGACAGAATCTAGACTGACACTGAGTGTATAAATAGGGCTTCTCTTTCCCACTCGTTTCCTCCTTCTCCATCCACTGCAGAGCAGTTACGTCAGCTGTCGTCTCAGAGACTAAATACAGGCAATGTATTAGAACCCTTTTCGTGATTGCATTTAAGGGTGAGAAATTTTGAAACCTTTCCAACATGCATGTATTACAGCTTATAATATAAGTGGGTCCAATCAACGTTACAAAGTATTGAGGTACAGAAAATGATATCCGAATGCAACTTATTGTCCGAACAGGTGAATTAAATTATAACGCTTACTGTCATTCAATGGCATTTGAAAAAAATGAAGGTTGCCTATTGAAATCCCAAAGCGATAGTTACTAAATGATACATTATCTAATACATCACCTATTTTCACAAGCAACTCTTGGTCCACTTTAAGAGGTCCGACTTTACTTAGATCGATGCACAGTGCTTGACCCACACTCGTTTCAGCTTGAAGCTCGAAAGCAGCCTCAACATACTCGTCGGAAGATTCTGGCACTTTTATGTGGACGGTTCTGGTATTCAACTTTTCCGTGTCAAGGAGCAATTTTGGTTCAACTTGTTTCACAGTAAACTTGGTTTCAGTAGATATTTTCAAGATTTTAGAATCAAAACATACTTCAATATCCAAATGGAGACTTCGAATATTAAAAGCAGAGTAGTTTGAAAATGTGTTCGGGTCAAGTTTGTCATCCATGGTTAAAATTATTCGAAGTTAAAATCTGAAACAAACTAAGAGTTTTAGCCGCATTCCAAATTATGACTCAGATTCAGTAAAATGGTATTGAACATTTTTGTAGCGTAGACGTTTCAGGCTCATTAATTTTCGCAAAAAATATGATAAAGACTAACCAAAAATTAATCTATTTATAAACAAACTGATTTCTGAGATAACTAGTAAAGCTAGAACTACCGTAACTTGATCTCGAAGTATTGATATTTAATCGGTATTGAGAGAAGTACAATTTAAATCGTCACATGGACCTCGCTGCTACAATCCCAAGACTACGAAGGGAAAAAACATTAATAATAAAATTATCAGAAAAAAAATAATAAACATATCGAAGATACTTAATAAATCACATGAAATTCAATGCTAAAAAGACAATTAAGTCTCAAATAAGATCCTGTAAATTCATTCATCCCTTTCAGCAAAGATTAGGATTGCATCAAAAAACTTGGTCTGCATTTTTCTGCGTTTCAGACCAATTTATCGCAAGAGGACAATAATCCACTTCCGTATTATGAAATCACGCTATATATGAATTAAGTTAATTTAACAGTATTATAGCTTTTATTGGCAAATTCGTAAGGACTTTGAATTCTGCTAGGGAAATTACTAGGACCAACTGACTTGCCTCAATTTAATTTGGAATGATTATTTGAGCACTTCAATTAAGTCTGGTTTACGCGGTGAGCATCATAGTAAGTGGGAAAAGCAGTGCATAATGCCAACAATTAAAGCTCAAAACTTTACGAAAAATGATATTTAATATTTTAATGCGATATTTTCAGAAAGGTATGTCCCTCGAAATCTTGCGATACACGAACCGTATAAAACTGCGTTTGTAAAATTGGTTACGAAATAACAACAAAGCAACTGAAAGAACTAGAAAAAAATTATCCAGAGTTTTATCGATCATGAAACAAAACAGGCCTAAACTTTCAAGACTAAAAAGGAAAACGAACGAAAAAACACCAAGTTTAAAACCTAAATACGAATAGAACAGACATTTAAAATGCAGATATGCTCAAAATGTGTGTTACTTGACGGAATCACAGGATTGGAGATGAGTTTGATATTTGAGTCATCCAATGAAGTCATCCATCCAGTGAACAACGTTATTGACGGGAAAGTCTGGTGCCCAGTTGCAACACCCTTGCTAATCGCAAGGATAAAAATCACAATTTGAAACCACGTTTGCGGACATCCACGTTTTTTTTGCGCCATTTTCGGTTTCATAATTGGATAACACATTTTCCTTTTTCCACAAAGTAATTTGAATTGAACTTACAACGAGAAAGTCAAACTGAGAAAAGTCACATTTGATCACTTGATCAAATTTTAGGACTTTCTTAAAAACGACAATAAATCTACCTCAAGTTCCTTTGCTAAGTTCCTTTTACTACATTCCTTTAAACTTAAATAATTAAAAGTCTCGCATCCATCTAGCTAACAAAAAGTAACCCGAAAGAGAAATAAAGTCACACAAAACCTTTTCGATACTTTTTTTGTAATATCTTTTGGGAATCCAAATCCTGAGATTTTTCAAAATGAAAATCGACTTGCCTTCGAGAGCGTGCGTTGATGTACAAATTCGGGCGGTAAAAAAGACCAACCTAGGCCATAACTTTTACTAACGAATCGAAAACCGGACTAAGTAAAACAGCAATTGAAACTGTAGTTCTTCGTTGAGCTGGCTGATTCCAAACTCTGGACTTCCTCAATCGCTGTTCAACACTTAAATTACACAGGATTATCATAAAACGTTCCAAACAGCGCATTTTCGAAAACAAATTTTTCATGTCCGAAACTTTAACAAAAACATTTGTTGAAGTCTTGCTCCAAACAGCGCATTTTTGACAGAGTCGAAGCTGAGCTTAGCACCACTTACGATGCAACACAATCATAAAATAGCATGTCGAACAAAAATGAAAATTTTCGAAAAAATAAACTAGATGAACCAAAAGTAGTGTTCTTTTTACTAAAATATAGGATAACAGTAAAATTTTTAAGAATTTAGAAAATTCCTTAAAATTTAACCTTTCTCCTTATAAAAAAAATCAGGAGTAACCGCTTCTGCAAGAAAAATTCGCGCAACCGTTTCTCTCTATCCAAATTTTCATCTCAGATATGATAGGTAGTTTTTAAGAAAAATCGATAAATTTCTAAAAAACCGTCAAATTTCAAAAACTTAACTTTCCGAAATCCATAGCTTTTTCTGCTTAAAGCAGGTCGTGACAAATAAAAAACAGATTATTCCAAAAAATTGGGTTTCGATTGAACACTTAACCCGAGAATTGCACGGTAATTTTCGAGTACAGTAAAAAAAGGTAAGCTTTCAACAGCCTGTTCCGTCGATTAAACCTATCATATCAGATTCATCAGGATAGTTATCGAGAAAAGTCCAAAATACGGTCAAATAAGAAAAATGTTATTTTCGAGAATCATAGCTTTTTGTTTTAAAAAAAATGGGCGTAGAAGTTTATGCAGAAGGTATTCGCCTAATTTGTAATTTCAATTGAACCCAAAAAAAAAGTTTTGGCCGGGTAGTTCTCGAAAGTTTCACCCACGACACGGTCAAAAAAAATCAAAGTTTCAACTTTTCCGAGTGCCATAAAAAGCTAAAGCAAAAAAAAGACCAGTGGAGTACACAGGCACATAAAACGGTAGGCGGTCGTTCTACAGATAACTTTTGTGAAAATCGGTAGAAAGGTTTTTGAAAAATATACTAATTTTTTTTGCAAAAAAATAAAAAACTCTCCAAAGAGTCTCAAAAAAGTAAAAGAAAAACCAAATCCCATAAACTTTCGGAATACCTCTTTTATCAAACAGGAATTCTAGGAAACATGCCAAGAAAGACATTTGAAATTCAAATTAGCAACTGAAAAAAATGTACGATGCGGAAACAAGGCCGACAATCTTTGAGCAGACACCAGTTGAGCCACAAAAAAACTGATTTAAAATTTGTTTTTAATTTCAAGTCCTCCTTGAAACTACCCTGAAGTAGCTAGTACCCACCCAGAAATTAAACTTGATTTTTCATGAAATTGAGCGATTCAGCTATGACTCAAATGTAATTCAACATGAGTGATTCAACTCATTTTGTTAAACTAGTTGTTAACCCGAAAAAAAGTCTACATTCCGATTTGATAACGCTTGCTAATCGCAAGCGTTAAAACAAATTTTTTATGTCCTAAACATAATTAAAACGCTTTCTTAAAGTTTCATTTTGGGACAATGAACGCGCAATATATTTCGCGCTATTAACGCGCAATATATTTCGCGCTATTAACGCGTAAGCGGAGAGTTAATCCGTCTTAGAAATCGCTCCAAATTGGTTGAAAGAAGCTTATTTGCCATAATTGATTTCTTACAAGGAGCGAAATCTATTCTTGTGTACTTAATATGGCGTGTAGGGGAATGATTTTCATTGAAAAAAAATCAAATTTTAAAAAAAAATTCATTTTTTTTTCAATTAATTTTTTTTAATGTTATTACTGCTCCATAAACATTAAAAGGCGGTCGGAACATTCAGGGCTTCGCCCTTATACGAGCAGTCTTGTTGACATTTCTTAATGAAGTATTTTGAAATCTGTACCAGTAAGTACTTATTTTTAAACTTGATACAATCAAATTTAATCTAACCTTTCTCCACAGTGACATTTGCAGTGTATGGGAACTTGACTCCCGGTGTGTCCTGACAGGGAAAGAGCGATCGACAGAATCTAGACTGACACTGAGTGTACAAATAGGGCTTCTCTTTCCCACTCGTTTCCTCCTTCTCCATCCACTGTAGAGCAGTTACGTCAGCTGTCGTCTCAGAGACTAAATACAGGCAATGTATTAGAACCCTTTTCGTAATTGCATTTAAGGGTGAGAAATTTTGAAACCTTTCCAACATGCATGTATTACAGCTTATAATATAAGTGGGTCCAATCAACGTTACAAAGTATTGAGGTACAGAAAATGATATCCGAATGCAACTTATTGTCCGAACAGGTGAATTAAAATTATAACGCTTACTGTCATTCAATGGCATTTGAAAAAAATGAAGGTTGCCTATTGAAATCCCAAAGCGATAGTTACTAAATGATACATTATCTAATACATCACCTATTTTCACAAGCAACTCTTGGTCCAGTTTAAGAGGTCCGACTTTACTTAGATCGATGCACAGTGCTTGACCCACACTCGTTTCAGCTTGAAGCTCGAAAGCAGCCTCAACATACTCGTCGGAAGATTCTGGCACTTTTATGTGGACGGTTCTGGTATTCAACTTTTCCGTGTCAAGGAGCAATTTTGGTTCAACTTGTTTCACAGTAAACTTGGTTTCAGTAGATATTTTCAAGATTTTAGAATCAAAACATACTTCAATATCCAAATGGAGACTTCGAATATTAAAAGCAGAGTAGTTTGAAAATGTGTTCGGGTCAAGTTTGTCATCCATGGTTAAAATTATTCGAAGTTAAAATCTGAAACAAACTAAGAGTTTTAGCCGCATTCCAAATTATGACTCAGATTCAGTAAAATGGTATTGAACATTTTTGTAGCGTAGACGTTTCAGGCTCATTAATTTTCGCAAAAAATATGATAAAGACTAACCAAAAATTAATCTATTTATAAACAAACTGATTTCTGAGATAACTAGTAAAGCTAGAACTACCGTAACTTGATCTCGAAGTATTGATATTTAATCGGTATTGAGAGAAGTACAATTTAAATCGTCACATGGACCTCGCTGCTACAATCCCAAGACTACGAAGGGAAAAAACATTAATAATAAAATTATCAGAAAAAAAATAATAAACATATCGAAGATACTTAATAAATCACATGAAATTCAATGCTAAAAAGACAATTAAGTCTCAAATAAGATCCTGTAAATTCATTCATCCCTTTCAGCAAAGATTAGGATTGCATCAAAAAACTTGGTCTGCATTTTTCTGCGTTTCAGACCAATTTATCGCAAGAGGACAATAATCCACTTCCGTATTATGAAATCACGCTATATTTGAATTAAGTTAATTTAACAGTATTATAGCTTTTATTGGCAAATTCGTAAGGACTTTGAATTCTGCTAGGGAAATTACTAGGACCAACTGACTTGCCTCAATTTAATTTGGAATGATTATTTGAGCACTTCAATTAAGTCTGGTTTACGCGGTGAGCATCATAGTAAGTGGGAAAAGCAGTGCATAATGCCAACAATTAAAGCTCAAAACTTTACGAAAAATGATATTTAATATTTTAATGCGATATTTTCAGAAAGGTATGTCCCTCGAAATCTTGCGATACACGAACCGTATAAAACTGCGTTTGTAAAATTGGTTACGAAATAACAACAAAGCAACTGAAAGAACTAGAAAAAAATTATCCAGAGTTTTATCGATCATGAAACAAAACAGGCCTAAACTTTCAAGACTAAAAAGGAAAACGAACGAAAAAACACCAAGTTTAAAACCTAAATTCGAATAGAACAGACATTTAAAATGCAGATATGCTCAAAATGTGTGTTACTTGACGGAATCACAGGATTGGAGATGAGTTTGATATTTGAGTCATCCAATGAAGTCATCCATCCAGTGAACAACGTTATTGACGGGAAAGTCTGGTGCCCAGTTGCAACACCCTTGCTAATCGCAAGGATAAAAATCACAATTTGAAACCACGTTTGCGGACATCCACGTTTTTTTTGCGCCATTTTCGGTTTCATAATTGGATAACACATTTTCCTTTTTCCACAAAGTAATTTGAATTGAACTTACAACGAGAAAGTCAAACTGAGAAAAGTCACATTTGATCACTTGATCAAATTTTAGGACTTTCTTAAAAACGACAATAAATCTACCTCAAGTTCCTTTGCTAAGTTCCTTTTACTACATTCCTTTAAACTTAAATAATTAAAAGTCTCGCATCCATCTAGCTAACAAAAAGTAACCCGAAAGAGAAATAAAGTCACACAAAACCTTTTCGATACTTTTTTTGTAATATCTTTTGGGAATCCAAATCCTGAGATTTTTCAAAATGAAAATCGACTTGCCTTCGAGAGCGTGCGTTGATGTACAAATTCGGGCGGTAAAAAAGACCAACCTAGGCCATAACTTTTACTAACGAATCGAAAACCGGACTAAGTAAAACAGCAATTGAAACTGTAGTTCTTCGTTGAGCTGGCTGATTCCAAACTCTGGACTTCCTCAATCGCTGTTCAACACTTAAATTACACAGGATTATCATAAAACGTTCCAAACAGCGCATTTTCGAAACCAAATTTTTCATGTCCGAAACTTTAACAAAAACATTTGTTGAAGTCTTGCTCCAAACAGCGCATTTTTGACAGAGTCAAAGCTGAGCTTAGCACCACTTACGATGCAACACAATCATAAAATAGCATGTCGAACAAAAATGAAAATTTTCGAAAAAATAAACTAGATGAACCAAAAGTAGTGTTCTTTTTACTAAAATATGTGATAACAGTAAAATTTAACCTTTCTCCTTATAAAAAAAATCAGGAGTAACCGCTTCTGCAAGAAAAATTCGCGCAACCGTTTCTCTCTATCCAAATTTTCATCTCAGATATGATAGGTAGTTTTTAAGAAAAATCGATAAATTTCTAAAAAACCGTCAAATTTCAAAAACTTAACTTTCCGAAATCCATAGCTTTTTCTGCTTAAAGCAGGTCGTGACAAATAAAAAACAGATTATTCCAAAAAATTGGGTTTCGATTGAACACTTAACCCGAGAATTGCACGGTAATTTTCGAGTACAGTAAAAAAAGGTAAGCTTTCAACAGCCTGTTCCGTCGATTAAACCTATCATATCAGATTCATCAGGATAGTTATCGAGAAAAGTCCAAAATACGGTCAAATAAGAAAAATGTTATTTTCGAGAATCATAGCTTTTTGTTTAAAAAAAAATGGGCGTAGAAGTTTATGCAGAAGGTATTCGCCTAATTTGTAATTTCAATTGAACCCAAAAAAAAAGTTTTGGCCGGGTAGTTCTCGAAAGTTTCACACACGACACGGTCAAAAAAAATCAAAGTTTCAACTTTTCCGAGTGCCATAAAAAGCTAAAGCAAAAAAAAGACCAGTGGAGTACACAGGCACATAAAACGGTAGGCGGTCGTTCTACAGATAACTTTTGTGAAAATCGGTAGAAAGGTTTTTGAAAAATAAACTAATTTTTTTTGCAAAAAAATAAAAAACTCTCCAAAGAGTCTCAAAAAAGTAAAAGAAAAACCAAATCCCATAAACTTTCGGAATACCTCTTTTATCAAACAGGAATTCTAGGAAACATGCCAAGAAAGACATTTGAAATTCAAATTAGCAACTGAAAAAAATGTACGAAGCGGAAACAAGGCCGACAATCTTTGAGCAGACACCAGTTGAGCCACAAAAAAACTGATTTAAAATTTGTTTTTAATTTCAAGTCCTCCTTGAAACTACCCTGAAGTAGCTAGTACCCACCCAGAAATTAAACTTGATTTTTCATGAAATTGAGCGATTCAGCTATGACTCAAATGTAATTCAACATGAGTGATTCAACTCATTTTGTTAAACTAGTTGTTAACCCGAAAAAAAGTCTACATTCCGATTTGATAACGCTTGCTAATCGCAAGCGTTAAAACAAATTTTTTATGTCCTAAACATAATTAAAACGCTTTCTTAAAGTTTCGGATGCTATGTATTTTATGAGAAGATGGAAAAAATAACCAGTAATTGAGTTCGTTCACAAAATTGAAATCCGTAATAAATAGCAGCTGCATGTGATTCACTCAAGAACACGCTATAATATGAAGTAAGTAGTTTCTCTAAAAAGTATCTGAAAACTTTTTTGACAACGCTAGCTAATCGCCTCTAAAATTTAAAGAAAAACATCCTGATTCAAGAGAAATATCAATTAAGGTGATCATTATCCTAGCATTCAAAAAAACCCGGAACTTCACCAAGAGTTTAAGCGAAAGTAACCTTAAGTTCATCGTAATATCATTGAACACGGTTCGGGGTGGTGGCTGTTATTAGATATAATCGAAAAGTTCTTGACAAAAGTAGAACTTTTTCAATTTGGAACTGCAAAAGTTCCAGAAATTCCAAAATATTCTGCCAAATGCACTGCAAAAAGTCACCACCGACCCAGCCCCCCACCCTCCTTAACCCGCCCTGACTATTTATACTTAAAACTTTCAGAAACCTATAAGCTTGATTTAGAAAGCTATTGCCATCAAAAAGTCCAAGAACAATAAACAATCAAAAAAGTCCAGGCATTTGACTCGAATGATGATCAATTTGAGGAAAACATGACAAGAAACACATTTACCGCCAATGAATGAGCATTCAGAATCATTTACCGAGCGTCAGCTGAGCCGAAAACAGAGTCTTGTCAGAAAAATTTGAGCTATAAAATTTGTAACTCGAAATTTTTACGCCCATTCTTCCTGAGAACTTGAAAGTTGTTAAGGTCCAATAATAAAGCAAGTTCAACTTTTTACAGAGCTCTAAGAAAAGTTGTTTACGAGAAAAAAAGTCTAGTTCTCCATTACAGGTACATTTGTTCTCGCAAGTGAAATAAGGTCATGGAAGAATTTCTCGAGGCACAACTTTTTTTGCCTCAAAAAATCTATTGCTGTTGAAACTGATATTCAATTCAAAGGGCAGATAATGACGGTGAGAAACTTTTGACTGAAATTTATAAGGAAAGCATAAGATGACAACAAAATAATTGACTGCCTTCTTGTCTTGATTTATTTTAGTCCTCTGGTATGATTATACTGGATTGCTCAAGCTTGATCTGTGTTCTTTCTCTTTTTCTTTCATTTTTTTCTTGGAACGGAATGACTTATTTTAAAATTCGTCGAACGTCGTCGTTAGAAACTTTCAGAAACTTCGTAACATCTGCTACATTAAAGACTAAAGATGCAATTGCACATGTATATGCAAAAATCGGTCCACAAGTTTTTGAATTAAGTCTAACTAATTCAACGAAAAAATCGATATCCTAAATAACATCATTCAGAGCTTGAAGAGTCATGTCTCTGCTTTTTACGATCTCTGATTTTCCCTTCAGATCTACTTCTAGATCGTTGTCTTTTTTCCTTTCTTTTGAGCTTCTCTTCCCTTTTGTGAGATTTCTTCCTCTCAGACTTAGATGACGAAGATTCTGACTTTTTACTTTTTTTGGACTTCTTCTCTTTCTTTTCACTTGATGAACCATCTGACAATCCCAGTTTCTTCAGTAGCTTCAATTTTTGCTTGTTCGATAATTGGGTCAGCATTCTCTTCATTTCTTCCTGCTCTGACTTCTTATCGGCAATAACAAAATTTCGATCAGGTGCCTTTTCGGATGCCGATTGTTTCAGTCTATAACCCTCCTCCGCCATTAACGTCTGCAGTTGAGAAGTATCCAAACCTTTGACTGCCTCAGGTGTCATTTCCAAACTTTTCTGATACATTGGGCACTCTCTGTCAGTATTGATATGACCCCATTGTTTGCATTTCATGCATTTAACGTTGCGTACACAAATACCAAAAGGTTGATCGTTTACCCAGTCTGAATTTTTCACATAGCTCTCACGCGGCGCAACCTTTTGCCATTCAAACTTGAACTCCTGCTCTTTTTCCATTTCTGTTTCATCCTTTTTGGCCCCTGGAGGCGGCTCGTACATAAAATTCAAACCCAGCTTTGCCTTTTCATTTCCCATTAAAACCTTGTTGTTGTAAATCTCTTGCTCTTTTTCGTATTGCTTTCGCATTTCTTCTTCTTTTCGCTTCGATTCATCGTGTCGCTGTTCAGCCATCCATTTTCGTTTCAAATTATCCAAGTTTGTCGGATGGAAATCCTTTTTGGACATATAATTTTCGTAGGATTTTCCCATAACTGAAGCAACAAGGACACAAATATCTGAAATCACACCATCATGTTGCCCCAAAAAACCAAATCAACATAACAGTTAATCAAAAATATCCCAGTACGTGGGTATTAACAAGTATCAAAATGATGAATCAGTCCCATTTGTACCAAAACAAAAAATCAATCGCGTTATCACCAAAAAAAAATTCAATTGGCCAAAGACTACTAAGCCGACTATTTTGAGCTCTTGGTTTAAGGTCGCCGGTGGGCGTGCTACGCGCGCTTCGCCGCGGCGCGGCAATAACTGGCTCTAACTTTTGTATAGAGTCCATCCCTCTGTTGGCAAGCTCGCAACACGTTGGCGCGACTGCGGCGGTCACTATTCTGCTGTTTAGTTTTCTTCTATTTGAATAGCAGAACACTAATGTAATAAACCGTTGGCTCACAATTCGACCAATCAGAAATCGAGTTGAATAATTTCGGTACAAATGGGACCGACTTTTCCTTTTGGTACAAATGAACGTTGGTACAAATGGGAATTCATCATCCCAGTAAATCAAAAGGTCAAAAATTAATATGGCGACCGAAGTTACTACTATGCTCGCTAATCTCCAAAACTGATCCAAATTCGTTAAATTAATAAGAGATATTTTTCGGTAAATAACTCAGGCAAATAGATAAATTTCGGCATTCTCTATCGATCAAAAACATCATATAACATTTTTATCATCTGTCAGTTTTTGGTACAAATCGGCGCAAGCTAGCCACAAGAACCGGTCGGTAATGTCCTTGAGACAAATTGCTCTTTTTGACGGTCAACCTTAATCAAGGCTGAACCGAATTAGAACCAAAAACAGTTAAAATAGGATGTAACCCCCGTTTTTAGTATATTAATACATGGGCAGGTGGGGGACTCGAACCTACGTCAACTGTTAACCTATATAATCGGCGTTATGGTAGCTTAGGCCACTCGGCCAACTGAGCTTATTTTATATGCATCTACACTTGTTTTATTCTACATTTGCATTGCAACATCCTCCCCCCCTGAAGAAGGAAGAACCGGAGCGAGCTTAACGGTCGGCCGCGTGACTTCACGGGTTGCGGTCCTGACAAGGGCGGATCGGGCGCAACCGTCCTGTCCGTAGTTTAGCTTGACGATTCGGGCGAGAGGGTAGTACCCACGCGGACTATCGGGCTCAATCACCCACACGAGATCGCCTGTTTTAAGAGTGAAGTCAGAATGAGTGTGCCACTTGACACGCTTATTCAGCGAGGGAACATATTCTCGAAGCCAACGAGACCAAATCGCGTTAGCATATGACTGCGCTCGCACGTACCTTTTCTTGTGATCGAAGTGCTCCCCGGGTAAAAGCGAAGGAAAGCTTGTGGCATGTTGTCCAAGCAAAAAATGGTTTGGGGTTAACGCTTCTAACTCACGTGAATCGGTACTAACGGGAGTGATTGGCCTCGAATTCAAAGCCTGTTCAACTAAGCAGAGTGTTGTTCCTAACACCTCTTCAGTGACTCGCCTACTGCCTAGGATATCGTACAGCACGCGCTTCACGCTTCGGACGAGGCGTTCCCAGGAGCCGCCATGATGGGGTGCGCCTGGCGGGTTAAATTTCCAAGTAACACCTTTGTGTGCAAAAATGGTCGGAGCCATGCCATTCCAGCTCTTGATGCAGGCAAGTAATTCCTTTTCCGCACCAACGAAGTTCGTGCCATTATCCGACCAGATTGTGCTTGGCGTACCACGGCGCGCAACGAAACGTTCAATGCCCATGACACACGAACTGGTGTCCAGAGATGGTACAATCTCAAGGTGTACAGCCCTGGTGGTGAGGCAAGTAAAAAGGAATCCCCATCTTTTTTCCGTGCTTCTGCGAACCGGAACGTAAAGCGGTCCAAAGTAATCCACACCCGTATGATTGAAGGGTGGTTGCTTATATCCGAGACGTTCGACAGGTAAATCGGACATAATTGGCTGGATGGTGCTTGCTTTGCGCTTACGGCATGTCACACATTGATTTTCGATAGACCGAAGTAGTCGACGCAACCCAAGTATTGCATATTTCATATTTAAAACGGAGCGCATGTAATCTAATCCTTGATGAAAATGCTTATGGTGGAGGCTGCGGGCCAACAAACGAACTAAGGTATGTCGGGCGTCGAGTATTATTGGGTGCTTAGTATCAAACTCGGTATCCACTAAGCGCACAATCCGTCCGGTGGAACGAATGATTCCAGCGGGACCGATAAATGGCGAGTATGTGGCAATTTTACTACTATTCTTAATAGGTTTGCCAGCGGTGAGTGTTTTTAACTCAACGGGAAAGGATTCCATCTGAGCAAGATGAATCAGTTTGCTTTCTGCAATATCAAGTTCAGTAGGGTCGGTGATTCGTAAGTCTTTACCACGAAAATGCTTATGTGAAGGCAACACCCTCAACATAAAAGCGACTACTCGTTTATATCTTGTAAAGGAACTGAACCTTTCCCAATTGAACCCGTGTTCGGGATGTTTGATTGATGTGACATCGGTGACGAAGGAAGATGATGTCTCCAAGCAATTATCAACATCACAAGAAGGACCCTTCAAACGAATTTTATTGATTACACGTTCGTCGGGTATAAACGGCCAATCAGTAGTCCTGAGAATGCTCGGACCAATAACCCAGCTGCTATCCTTGAGGGCTTCCGAAGAAATCCCCCGCGTACCGGTATCAGCTGGATTATCGCCGCTCAGAACATGGTGCCACTCATCAATAGTGGTCGACTCGAGGATTTCGCCGACACGATTAGCGACGAATACAGGTAATTTTTCAGTGGAGTTTAGCCACTGCAAAACTGTTGTACTATCTGTCCACATAAAGACATGATTAATAGAGACGGTAAGGGCGGTCAGTATATCATCTTTTAGTCGTGTGGCGAGCAGAGCAGCTTGAAGCTCTAGCTTCGGTATCGATAGCGCTTTCATGGGCGCAACGCGAGCTTTACCAAAGATGAAGGATATTTGAGTTTTATGCGAGCTCGCGAGTCGCGCACGCAAAAATCCAACAGCACAGAAAACGTCCTGCGAGCTATCACCGAACATGTGGAGCTCAATTTGATCAACAGGCTCTGTGAAGTAACAACGGGGAATAGTCAATAGCCCTAAGAGAGGGAGACCGGAGTGCCACTCGAGAAACTTATCTCTTAAGTCTTCTGGCAATTCGTCGTCCCAACTTTGACCACTGATTTTCCAAATATCTTTCAGTAAAAGACGGGCCCTAACTGTGTATGGAGCTACTAACCCAACAGGGTCAAACACAGAAGAGACGAAACTCAAGACGGTTCGTTGAGTTATTGCTTTATCGAGAGGACGATCCACGCCTCTGCTAACAACCAATGTGTCTTTCACATGGTCCCACTTAAGACCTAAGACGTGTGATGATTGTTCGGCACCGTTACATATTTCCTTGATGGGTGAAGATGAGGTTTCGGATTCCTCGGGGTTCATTGCTGAAGTGATTTCATCAGCATTACTGACAAATTTAGTCAAATTAAATCCTCCCAATTTTAGTAAGGAAACCAAATCGCGACTAGTTTTAATTGCTTGGGTAACGTTCTCGAACGAATCCAAGTAATCGTCCATGTAAAATTTTTCATTTACGACTGAGGCGGCCTCAGGGTATGTGGACATATTATCAGTTGCTGTTTTTCGCAACGCGAAATTGGCGCACGCAGGCGAATCCCGTGCGCCGAATATATGGCGAGTGTACTGATGAACTACCACATCGGAAGTGGTATCCTCCCGCCACAAAAAACGGAGCGAAATTTGATCGCGGGCAAGGACTCCTACCTGGAGGAACATACCCTCTATATCCGCGGAGACGGCGTACTTGTGTTGACGGAATCGCAAAAGCACGAAAATTAAATTTTGGAGTAGGTCAGGACCCACCAATAAGGACTTATTTAAGGATGTGCCGTGAAACTTAGAAGCCCCATTAAGGACTCGGCGCACCTTACCCGGCTTATTCGGATTTACGACGGGATGGTGCGGAAGATACCACTCGCGATCGGAACGCTTACGTGGATCATGCGGTTCGACGGTAACGACATAGCCTTTCCTAATGTCCTCTCTAATTGTTTCTGCGTATCTTTCGCGCAGCTCAGGGTCTTTACTTAACCTTCTCTCCAATGAATTAAATTGGGCGAGTGACGAGTAATAATTGTTTGGTAGACTGACATTACTATCAATCCAAAGCATAGGCACAATGTATCTTTCACCATTGTGAACGGTTTCAGAATTGAGGATGGATAAAGCATGTTTATCCACGGCGGAACGGGCATCGACTTGTTTGAAAGCACCATACGATTCCAACTCGTACCAGGATTTTATCTGGTCGGTCAGAGAAGAATCTTCAACAACACACTTGAAACACGAAGAAGTAGAATTACCGGACGGCGGCAACGGACCACTTAAGACCCAACCTATCGGTAGGCGAACGGAACACGGTGAGTTTTTATCATCTCCCAAGATGAACTCAATGGGTCTAACGGCGTGGTAGTAGTCTTGTCCGATAATAACTTCAACGTCCTCATAAGTATATTGAATGGGCTTAATAGGTGCTAATTGTGGATATTTATTCTGCAAATCAGCAATATTGATTAATTCGGAACCAATCCGAATACTGTCTTTAACATAGGCACAGAGAGAAAATACGAAATCACTATTATTCGGCTCGGAGGAAACTGTAAACTTGACCCTCTGAGTCTCAACAACGGTGGTCGAATTGAAACCACTAATTGACAAGTTAACGGGCTCCCCTTCTAAGCCGAGACGGTTTACGAGTGACGAAGATACCCAGGAGTGAGTCGATGCACTATCACAAAGAACCAACGTCAGGAGACTGGTTACATCCGAGGATACAACAAGTGTTGCAATTGGCAACAACCCTTTAGAAGATTCAATGTCATGTACATCACTAACAGCGGCATGGGTGGAAGTGTTTGTATTCTCCTTGGATTTGTTTGTTCCAGCCTTATTCGAGACATTTGAATTTTC